TTCCGAAAAGTAATTGTAAATTCAAAGAGTACATCAATTAAATAGTTATATTAAGGGGCTATATACCTTTTTTATTTTCAAAAAAAAATAAATTTTTTTACTGCTTTATCTTGAAGAACAACTTTTTGAGGCGAAAAACTACTGAACCGATTTTCTTCAAATTTTTTTTAAAATGTTCGTGATGAATTTTGTGTGTACTTGAACGATCGATTTTTCATGTATAAATTTTTATTTCGCCGAAATGGATTTTTTTGTAAAACCTCTAGCGACCGAAAAATTCTTTTTTTGCATAAAACGTTTCTGTATTCACAAAAAACATTATAAAAACGATCGTTCAGATACACGGAATTACTCTAAACTAATGAAATTTTTTTATTTTTACGGTTTCAGTTGACCTGTTCGACAATGGGAATTATCACCGCGAGGCTCTTCCAAAAAGAGGCGTTTAAGGGAAACAGCCACCCCTTAAATACTATTCAACATTTTTCAACAACATTTTCAACAAATTTTTGCACATACATTGTCAACAAACTGAACTTTCAGAAAATAAAATCATTTATGTAATAAAAACAAGGTATGACATCCCATATTCGTTTCATTATTTTCACGGCTATAGTACAAACAAGAGAGAACGCTATAGTCGGGTGCCCCGACTATCAGATACCCGTTACTCAGGTAAAGGGAGTGCGAGGAAGATGGAGATAGAAACTTTGATCACGCATAACTTTTTAACGAATGGTCCGATTTGAAAAATTTCATTTCGATAGGTATTGATAAACACAATAAAACTGCATTTTTACTTTTCCGAAATATTTAAATTTTTAATTGTGGGCGTTAAAGGGGGCGTGGTACCTTTTTGAAACAAACTTGCGCTGCGTAGGAACTCCTAGAATCTGCATGCAAAATGCCAATCTTCTAGCTTTTATAGTTTCCGAGATCTCAGCGTTCATACGGACAGACAGACGGACAGACAGACGGACAGACGGACATGGCTATATAGACTCGGCTAGTGACCCTGATCAAGAATATATATACTTTATAGGGTCGGAAACGCTCCCTTCTAGCTGTTACATACTTTTGCACGAATACAATATACCCTTTTACTCTACGAGTAACGGGTATAAAAATTAGTACATACCAAAAAAAATCCAAACTTTACTATTTTTTAATAAATTAAAAATTACAATTTAAAATGTCATTCAGTATTATATTCTTAAGTATAGGAATTTCTTTTAGCACAAAAAATAAAAACAAAGAAATAAAACATGAAAGGAAGCAAAGTTGTTACACAATGACTACTTTCGATTTCTATGCCTATATAACTAAAAACAATTAAGCTATGTCGATTTTGCGCTGCATTTTGCCATCGTTTCTATCGCAGCTATATGATATTGTTGTCCGATTTTTACAAAACTAAAAGTGTAATTCTGATATAGTAAATAATTACTATTACAAAGGAATATTTTGATAAATAAAAAAACAAGAAAATAAAATTTTCTTTTGATTTTTATTTTTTTTTTTTAATTTTTTAAATTTTTTATGGGAGCTATATGAAATAGATGTCTGATTTTAATTTAATTTAAATCGTAATTCCATTGTATTTAAATAAATCGCAATCCCAAAGAACAGAAAAAAATTGAAAATAACAAAGTTACACGCGTGGCCATTTCAGGACCAAATAAAATTGCAATTCCCATACTGGAGAAGCAGGAGCAGAAACAGCACACTTGCTCTGTGATACGGAATACATATTGGTCGTATTGAATCTGTACAAAAAAACTTCCTTCTTTTTGCTTTACGGCGCCTAAACTGGGATGCAAATCTTATCTTACCTTCTTATTCTAGTAGACTTCTTTTGATTAATTTACCATCCCTAGCCAACCGTAGAACGATGCTTGGTACTATCTTTATTTATAACCTTATACATGGTGATATTGACTGCCCCGACTTGTTAAGTCGGCTAAACTTTTCTGTGCCAAGTAGATTAACTAGAAATTATATACCCCTAATTTTAAATCATTGTAGATCTAACTATGCCTTGCATGAGCCTTTCAGAGTATTATGTTCTGACTATAATAGACTTTTTCCTGTAATATCAAATCTTGACTCTCTGCCGCTCCTAAAACGATTAATACTTGCTTCATTGGCACAAGATTGATCTAACTATTACTTTTTTTCCCCGGACCTTTACCTTTATTTTCCTATCTCGCGTCTATCCTATCGCGAATCGTGCCGTACGATACACGGCTGCGCCCCCCGGTCGGTTGGGCGGGTAAGGGGGCCGTGGGACTCCGCGAAAAAAAAAAAAAAAAAAAAAAAAAAATATTCTTTACGCCCGGACGCTTCAAGGCCAGCATAGAATGCACCAGTAATCCGCAGAAGCAGTCGGAGGCACTGCTAACCCGTTCCTGCCCGGCGGAAACCGAGAACGGCGGCCAATCAGTCATGTTCTCCTCCAGCTATGATGAGCAGCAGGTGCATGTTTGGAAGTTCATTCCGCCTATCGAGGTTACCGTCGTGGAGCAGTGAAATGTTAACTGTCGCTAGTTTAATTTCGTTATTATGTTTGTGTATGTATTGTGTATACCCACTCCTCCGCTCCCGTTAAATAGTTTGATTCTTGCTCTGTTATACCCGAAAATAGGAAAAGCAATTGTTTGTAAAGAATTCTAAACTAGATACAAAATATAACGCATAACACTGTATATAACTAAGCTCAAACACAAAACATAAACTGTACCCTAAGCTTGATAGAGAAAATGGCCATAACATAAATCTAATAGAACCTATAGTCCATGCCTGTAAAACATATACATATTTAAACAAGCGTTACGCCGTGGTGTATTTATATAGATAGCAAATGTTCCGCGCACTAAAAGCCACGCCAAGCATTATACATTTTGATAACAAACTCGTATTTACAAAATATTTTTATACAATTACCGGGGCAATACACATGTATCATTATGAACTACAAATTAATATTGTTGCTAAAGAAATTATGCCAATGAATTGTGTGAATAACTGTAGTGTAAACGCAATACACTTGTTTTGAATTTTTTTTCCGCTTGTTCCTATGGGAGCTATATGATATAGTCGCCCAACTTGTATTCTACCAGCAATAGAAAGACAACTTTTGGGAAAGTTTCAAGCAGATGGCCTTAAAACTGAGGGACTAGACTGCGTAGAAACGGACAGACGGACATGGCTCCTGGTGTCCTGGTGATGATGATCAAGAATATATATACTTTATAGGGTCTAAAATGTCTCCTTCACTGCGTTGCAAACTTTTGACTGAAGTTATAATACCATCTGCCAGGGTATAATAAAATAAGCATCTAATGATAGTCTCTTACAAATTACATAAGGTGTTACAATTTTATTATACCCTTGCAGAGGGTATTATAATTTTGGTCAGAAGTTTGTAACGCAGTGAAGGAGACGTTTCCGACCCCATAAAGTATATATATTCTTGATCAGGATCAAAAGGGGAGGCGAAATAGCCATGTCCGTCTGTCTGTCTGTTTCAATAACGTTTGCGAGCTCAGTTAGCGATCTGAAACTTTTACAGTCGTCCTAAAACATGTGTACGCAGATCAAGTTTGAAAACCGACCCGATCGGATGTCTTATCCTATATCTCCCATAGGAACAATCAGATATAGCTTGCAAGAATGGAAGATATTTCGCGCAGTGTAAAAGCTATTGACATGAAAATTTCCAAATCTTTTTTTTTATGCATACCTTGATCAAAGTAAAAGCGCGTGCCGATCGGACATCTATATCCTATAGCTCCCATAGGAACAATAGGGTGAAATCGGTCCAAATTTGATGTTTTTCAGAATATTTCGCGCAGTGTATAAGCTATTGACATACATTTTTCCCAGTCTTATTTATTTACGCATATCTTGATAAGGGTTAAAGCGCTTGCCGATCGGACGTCTATTTCTTATAGCTTCCGTAGGAAAAATTGTTAAAGGCGGCGATTATATATTATATTCTTTCTATCAATATTTTAGAAAAGTTCTTCTAAATTTCATTTATAATTTATTTATTAAGAGTTATTTTTTGAACGATTTTTTCAGTTAAGAAAGAGACCATTTTTAATGCAAGTAAAACGAATAAAAACGCTTAGCCTAAAAGTATACTTCTTATGTCGTTGGCCTGATAACTTGTGTAACCGATAAAAAGTACGAAAAACGGCCACTGTGAAACGTAAATTCCCGCTAGATGGCGCTTTACTTTAATTCTATTCAAATACCGGAATAAAATAAACATATATTTCTTTATATTTTACGTGGGCCAAGCTGTTATTGTACTTATTATACTATTTATAAGCACAACAAAACAGGATGTCTACACAGGATTTTTGTGCGCTCGCGTACTTCTGCTCAAGCTGCTTTACACGGCTTGTAATAAACTAAGTAATTGCATTAATAAAGGGTTCTAATTTTATTGTAACAGCGGTATTTTTATATTTGTTGGGGTAACAACATTAGATTACTGTAATCCAAAAGCTGGTTTCTGTCGGCTGGACCCTTTTAACTGTAAACTAACGGCAAACGGTTGAAACATTTACCGGCAAAACTAGTTGATTTAAACATGAAAATTGTATAGGTGAACTTTACAATAGCACATACCTACATATATACATTTTTTTTTAGAATATTATTTTTAATTAGTTTAGTAATATTGTCATTATTAATTAATAATTATTGGTGCAAAATAAGGCCTATGTTAATTAACATAATTCTGATTGGGTTTCCACGTAGAGCTGGGAAATCATCGTATTGGCCTTATTTCCGGAGATACCAACCGGCAGCGGAGACAACATCGTTATCCATAGCGGGGACTTACACCGCTGGTAGCGAGGATAAATTCAAAATTTCCCTTAGAGACCGAGGTATTCAAGCATTTGTGGTGAAAAAACATCGATGACGCCCTGCCAAGTATCGATACCACCGATGTTCTGAAAACACCGACGGCGGCATCGATGTTTGCCCACCTCTACGGACGTGTTTTCAATTGGTTTTCCGTTGGTGCCGCGAGTACTCGTACTTGTTGTTAAGTGCGCGTTTCGTACCGCGCCGCGCTATTGTGTTGCTCACGTTTGTTTAGGTAATTGTCGTGGAATAAAGTCGAGCGCAAACACACTCGCACAGTGCGGATTGTGTGTGATTTGGACTGCCTTTGCATCTGTGTTATTTGTTCTCGCAACTACAATATTCGACTGGGTTTTGTAACAATGTACGCCGAACACGGCCAAATTAATAACACAACAGTGGTGGATGGTGGATGTTGTATGGTGAATGGTGGTTGGCGGGGTAGGGGAAGGGGGAGGGGTTTTGGGGGTCTCAACCACCGAGTGTTTACAGTGGTTGTGTGGGTAGGCGAACGTTGCCGTCGGTGTGTATCTGTATCTGTGTCTGTGCCTGTATCCGTACGATTTTGTATCTTTTTTTTGCCTGTGTGTGCGGTGTGAGTGCGGGTTAAAGCAAGAGTTTGTGCAAACGTTGGGGGCTTTCTTCCAGCCCAACTGGGATTGGTACTGGGATTGGGAAGTTCTTATTGGCATCTGTCAGTGGCTGTGCGGTGAATGAACTCCATTTCCACATCGACATCCAACTCCAACTCCAACTTGAACTTAAACTGCGTTGCCGCTGCCAAACCAACGGAAAACGAAAAGCGGAAAAGCGGAAAAACGGAAAAACGCGGCGCATTAAGCATTAAGCATTAAGCATTAAAAAACCCAAGCAAGCACAACTCAAACCACAAAATGGTGGCAGAGACACACAATTACTGCTTATTTTCGAAATATTAACCAACTGTGCGCAACGGCAATAGCAACAGCAATAACAGCAATAACCATAACAATGACGAAAGCAGAAAGCAAAAAGCAGACTACCCAGGTCCAATCAGAAGAAGCGAAGGCAAATAGGAACAGAGGCTGCTGTTTAATGTCTTTCCCGTTAGCCTCACTCTCTACCGCTCTTCCCAATCGGACCTTGATTCGTGTTACGAAAAAGTCGGTCTGGAAATCAATGTGCAATTAGAGAATGCATCCCCAATTCGATTCCGTGGTGGTAGCGGAAAACCGAAACTCATGCCATAAATCGACCGCTCTGCACACTGAAAACAATGCCGAATTTCTTAAACTTAAAATAGTTTCTTACCAAAAAGAAAAGACTTATGTCCTGATTTTTCATAAAATTTTACATATTTAATAATAATCTAGAAATAATTGCACTTTCGACCATTTCTTTTCTGAGTGTTGAATTTTCTAGAAATGATTTCAAGGGGTTATTTTCTTTTCAAGATATTGGTTTTGTGTGAGTGTCTTTTTCGCATTTTTTTTTGAACGAAATAATCAAGATTAAATATTGTTACCCAGCACCAAAATTTCATGAATTTACTCCAGACGAGGCAATCTTTTTTTTATTTGCTTTTTATTTGTTTGCCATTGGGTTGTACTTTGATTAAACTGTTCCAGACAGCTTGGGTTCGACCATAAATGTAACTTTTTTCAGAATAATAATTGTTTGTTTTCGATTCTTATCGAATCGCAAACGAATTTCCCGCAGAAATCATATTTCAGGGTGTGTGACTGAAATCCCTTCCAACCAAATGCAAACTGCAACAATTATTATCTACAAAATGTTTACAAAAATAACAACATTTTATTTAGATCTGACTTAAAAGCCGTGTGTCATGACTTTCAATGGTGAATTACCCCCCTTAAAAAAAAAAAAAACGAGTACTTTCAGAAAAGCTCGTTTCCTTCCCGTATTTGCAATCCCATACGAAAATTGTACAATTTTCGTACTGATAATTCTGACTGGGATCTCTCCATCCCCCTCTGCCGCTCTGATTAGAATTCAAATTACTACTGAGTACTGAGGCGAGCTCGCATGCGAGTGTGTGTGTGTGTGTGTTTCGCTTAGATAATGGTGACTATCTTATCGGAGGGCTTAATCTTTTGCAAGCTGGAAGCAAAAATGCGATTTCGAGCGAGCAGCTGCCTGGGTAACGAACTAACAGGCTCAGTTCACCGAAAAAACGCCGATCGAGTGTGCTTTTAGTATGCCTCAGCCTTGGGCATTACTCACGGCTACAGATACAGCTACAGCTACAGCTACAGCCCGGCCTGGTCGGTCGCCTTACGTCTGTATCTTGCCAACGTGCGAGTTTGGTAAGACGATGGCGATGACGAGGCCCTTGCTCAGCGAAAAGCAGGGAAGAGTGAGAGAATAATGGCCGACAGCCCCGACTGCTGGATATCCTCAACTCGTAAATGTAGCGATGCAACTATTCAAAATAGTTTTCTAACTATTCAAAATAGTAGAACATTTTATTTGTTGTTAATGGTATTGCTTAAAATTATGGCTTACTAATTTGTAGTAATACCATTAAATACCAACCAAATAATTTTTCTTACATGATGTAAGAATATTGTTGTTGAAACTTATACTCTCTTCAAATTGTTATTTAGCTATGCAAAATAATTTTTGTGCGTACTTGTACGAACTGCATTTTGAATTTTCACCGATTTGGCATTTATAACGCTCTTATAAGACAGTCAACAAAAATTTAAAACAGAATCATTTCTTTAGAAAGTCTTTACACACAGATCTTTAAATGGTGTAGGATGAACAATGAACTATGGAAATAAGTTTGTTTCGTTTTTGTTTGATGGTTGAAGGTTTACCCTAACATAATCTTATTATGTTGCATATGGCGTAGGAGTAACTATTTTGTAGTTCGTTCCATCATGGATTCAATATTTTTGAACAGCTAGTATAGTCATTAACCGGGTATTTGAATACGCAGATCTACCTTATAAGCTCCACTGTGTGTCAGTCTTTTAAAAGCAAACTGGGTCTTCGTTGCCCTGTCCGTGGGCTTCTTTCTTCACTTTGGCTTCAGTTACCTGCAAAGTGTTGCTCAAGTTACCGATGGAGCAACCCTTTTCAGGCCCTATTAGACGCCGACATTGCGGTCGATCTGCGTCGTATTCAAATTCTCGCAGTCGGCTGCTGTATTCGCGCTCAAATCAATTATAAATCAAATGCCCCCGCAGCGGCAGTCCACTCTGATCAGATGTCACGCAATTGCAACTGAATTCACCGGTTTCCGACTCCACATGCATGTGACACGAGGCGGCAATTGTTAGTGGGTTAGTAGTTAACATGCTCATTCGGGCCAACAAACCGCAGTTTCGCGAATTCGATACTAGGGAAAAGATAAGTAGGTTGCGAATGCAACAAAATATGACTCTCCAAAGGGAAAAAATCGTTGCCTAAGAAAATAATGTCTAATAAAAATTGACTGACGATGCATTTATATGCATTTAAATGAATACAATTTAAAGGCTATTATTTGCCAATGAAAACAAAAGTTTTAATCTGATTATTATATCATTATCAATACTCATTTTTTTATTTTTGTTTTGATTTAACAGGCTGCTAACTATTTTTATTTAAAAAAAACAGAGACAAAAATTTTATTTTAGTGGATTAGTTAAAAAAAAAATAAAAGCGGATTATTAATAATAATTATTAAGTAACTTTCAGTCACTGAAAATAGTTTTTCTTAAAATCTCGAAATAATTATCCCCGATGGACTGAGATTGCTAAGAACTTTTACGTAAACATAAATTTATTCAATTGAAAAATTTAAATAAATTTTAATCATTGTTGCCCGTTTAAGGCCTTGTAAAAATAATTATAGACTCGTTCGCTTAAAGTTTATGGACCTTTAGAAATCGAATAATATGAAATCGAATAATATGAAATAATTTGTTTAAATTCAAATATTTGTGTAAGCCGGAATCGGGCTGTGAGTATCCGTGGTACCCCTTATTTCGAGTTTACGAGTGCTGGATACAAACAGCCTAGTCAAGTACCATTGGGGCATTTTGACCTTTTTTGGTTTGGGGGTGGGGGCCTTAATTAAATGATCAACTCAAGTGAAATTCCCGAGGCGTAGATATCTGCTCGCATACGTACACACTCGGCACTCGGTCGTACCTACATTTACATTTACATTTATGTGTGTCTGGCTTTATTGAGGTCGATTGTTCATTTATCGTCAATGTCAGTCATCAGGTGGCCTGCGTGCATGTTTTGTTGTTTTTACACATTCCCCCGCGATTTGTTTACGTTTACGCCGTTCGCTACAAGTCCCAGGCCGCCGAGCATCCAGCCAATTCAGAAATCACACCAGTGCGCCATGGCCCCTGCGATTTCCCAATCTCACAACACTCCGCTGGGGTTTTCCCTAATTAGGCATTTGCCAGAATCAGGAAAGCGACATTCCCAAGATATATTTCGGGGAAAATAGACCGCAGATTAGGTCCCGAAAAGTCTCGTCGACTGATCGTTTTCGAATTTTCAGAATATAGCTAATTTGGTTTTTAAAGTTATTGTTATTTTCAAAACAAATGCGTCAAACAAGGAAATACAAATTTGAAGAAAATTTAAAATAGTCTTGAATGTTTAGCTGTTATTAAAAAAGGCGGTTTCAATTTCTTATTCTTTAAGACTTTGATTTATGGACATATGTATGTTAAGTTTAATATAACTTAAACTGGAGATTCAACTGGAGATTCAACTAAAGCAATGAAAGTACTAGGTGATTATCTCAAAAATGCTTCGTTACTTTCATTCGAGTTCATGAGAATGGGCAGTGTATCTATAAAACTGCGCATAGATCAGCCTGGAATATCAGCAAATCAGTCGCAGTTCAACCGAAGAATCCATCGGAGTTACAGAATCTGTAGAGTTATTTATGTGTTTCGTACATTTCGTACATTTGCTTAGATTTCATGATGAACAAATATTTTAAAGCCCATACTTTGGTACATTTTAATATATATGGTCAATATTCAACCGGTTTGTGTGACACCGGGATTAATGTATAAGTTCAAATTTGGTTTGAAAAAGTAGCACTAGTTTGAAAGTAGCACCAGAATATATGTGAGTTTGACGGCCATTCTGGAAAACTTTTCGTGTATTTTGCACTTCGGCCAATTAGGGTCTTTAAATTGATTGTAGGTTGGCTAATGGACAATGCTTCTATAGTTTAAATATGCCGTCACCACTTGGTAGATACCCATCACATAGGTGCGACTTCATCACTATTGAGGTAGTTTAGCCCCTCAGCACTCTGGTTTTCAATCCACTTATTACTCGTGTTTAAATGGGAGTGCCGCTCAATGCCCAAAAATATTTACTATGATGAATATTTACCAGGATGATCCGACGGACTAATACTCAGTTTTTAATCATCATCCAAGTCTGGCAATAACCACCAATAATCACCAATAACCTTAATGCAAGAATATTTTATTTTACAAGCTTTTATGTACTATAATACAATGAAGTTAAATAGAAACTTAAAATAATATTCAGGTTAAGATTTGTTGGTTTAAGTTGAATTCTTCTCAGTTAAAATACGAAGTTTTTGGACCGAAATTGGGATTACTAGAAACCATTTCGAAGAACAACTATAAACTTTTCTTAATTCAAGAACCAATTTATGTCAAATGACAAGAGGTATTGCATACTCGTAATTAAAGATCAGGCTTTTAAAAAAGTGATTTTTCTAGATACAATCTTACTGACAATCCTACCATGGTTCAGCTTTGGGTTATTTTCTTCTATCGTGGTTATTTATAAAAAAATTTATTAATAAAAAAATATAACAATTTGACTGCAACTAATCATAGCTTCCACACTGTTCTTCCAGATTTCTTTTTATCCACGCCAGACAGCATTATCGATGGTGGACGCACAGACGACGAGGACTCCCAACTCTCTTCCACTCCAAGCCCTCTCGGTCTCCCCCCTACCACTCTCCCCCGACCACTGTTCCAAAACATGTCTGACACCATCGCACCCGCAGAAGGAATCCGTCCTCTAATCGCAGCCAATCCTTCAGCAGCGGGTAACGCAGTGGACCACGATCCCCAGCGAACAGCCAAGGAAGTGGAGCAGGACACCTTCGAGGCCTACATCACTGCGCCGCTGAAGATCGTAGAGCCCTTCGAGAAGTTCGAGGAGGAAGAGGAGGAGAAGGAGGAAAAGGAGCAAAAGGAGGAAAAGGACGAAAAGGAGCAAAAGGAGGAGGGTTCCCGGGAGAAGGAGCAGGACAGCCCGGTGGGTAACATAGAAAAGCCAGAGATTCTGGCCGAGAACGAGGTCACCAGTGCCAAGGTCAAGAAGTCGGTCAGCTTCAATCCCAACGACGAGGAGATCCGCAAGTTCACCACAGGCGAGCCGATCGTCGACCAGAAGAACCCGTTCCGCAATGGTAGCGTGGCCACCGGCCGGGAGAAGAAGACGCCTCCTCCGGTGCCCACCAAGCGCTCGACCCTGAGTGTCCGCAAGACGGTGACCCAGCAGCTGAGGGAGCGGGAACGGGAGCGGGAACGGGAAAGGGAGCGGGAAAAGGAGAAGGAGAGGGAGCAGCAGAAGAACGAGTCGAACAGCCGGAGGAACAGGGCCAGCAGGCCAGCGAACCAGTCGCAGGCGGACGACTATGTGACCACCGAGGAGGTGCTCAAGCAGTCCAAGTACGTGAAGACGTACATCAAGAACCCGGACGCCGTCTTCGTCTACGACCCCACGGTGCTGGCCCGGCTCAAGTCGGAGGAGCTGCAGGAGGCGACGGGGAAGCTGCCCAAGCGGAAGCAGCCGCAGTCCAAGGAGCCACGCAACCAGGGCAAGCAGGCCCGCAAGCAGCCGGAGGTGCGAAAGCCACAGCCCACCTTCAAGAAGTGCTCCAAGCCCAACTACCCGGAGCTGGCCAACCTGAAGATCCGCACCGGCACCCACTCCGATCCCGAGAGCAGCGCCCTCCTCAATCCCGCCGAGGTGACCAGGAACGCGCGCAAGTTCGACGAGCGGGTGCGCAAGCTGCAGATCACCTCGGACGACGACCTGGACGACATCGATGGGCCGCTGACCAAGAGCGAGTCGAGCGACGAGCTGGCCACCAGCTCCTCCGTGCCCCCCAGTCCGCTCAAGGCGGTGCCCTCGCCGGGCACCTTCACCAACACCATCAGCTCGGACGAGTTCCAGGCGTACCTGGACAGCAAGGGCCTGGCCCTCATGCCCCGACCGGAGCAGGTCTCCCCGACGCCCTCGTCCCCCTCCCCGCAAGTGCGGCCTACACCCGCCTCCGCCGAGGAGCGGCGCCAGCAGGTGACCGAGTCGCTGGCGGCGCTCCGCAAGAGCAACACGAAGAAGCTGTCGGTGCTGCAGCGGCTCTCGAACAGCCTCTTCCCGGCCAGGCGGAAGACCATGCCCAAGTCGGAGGCGCCCCTGCCGCGCCGCCTCTTCCACGAGCCGGAGAAGGGGGAGGAGCTGCGCCGCAAGGCGGACGTGCCCTCCGAGATCCGACGCGTCCTGCTGGAGCGCCAGAGCCTCAACCGCCGCCCGAAGGTGGCCCAGGTGGCCCAGGAGCAGTCGCCACCCGCCACCGAGCAGAGCAACCGCGGGGCCACCTTGCAGAGATCCACCCTGGAGCGCAAGTGGCCGGAGGCGCAGGCGGGCCGGATCAGCCGCTCCACCTCGGTGGATCGCAGCCAGTCGATCCCGAGTCCCACCCCGATCTCCGCCAGCCCCGTGGCCACCTCGACGCCTGTGCGCGGCCAGAACCAGTGGGACCAGCTGCGGGCCATCAAGGAGGTCACGGACCGCCAGCTCTACCACAAGCTCCAGCAGCAGCAGCAGCTGCAGGGGCAGCGCCCCAGCGAGGACATCTACTCCCAGGTGGTCCAGGTGGGCCAGCCCGATCCGGCCAGCTTCGTGCGCGGCTCCCTCCAGCGCAACACCTTCTCCGGGGTGAGTGGTCGCCACCGGCAGGTGGTGGTGGTGAACGGCACGCCCATGCGGCAGGTGCAGCCGCCGCGCTGCCAGAGCGTTCTGGACAACCTGGTGCCAGGTGGAGGTGGCTCTGGGCAGCATCCTGGAGTGCATCCCGGACTGCAGCGGGGCCAGACACCGACGCCCACGCCAACGCCCACGCCCGTGGTGATGCGGCGAAGGGACGAGCACGGACAGACCCGCCGGATCGGGGGACTCCTCACGCGCGAGGAGATCCTGGAGAAGGTCAAGGAGTTCTGCCGCAAGAGCATCACCAGAACCCCGCTGCCGGAGTCCAAGGCGCAGATGCAGATGCAAATGCAGATGCAGCCCATCTACAAGCGGCACCTCACGCCCCCGAACGCGGATGTCTCGCCAGTGTCCTACGCCTCCGTGGACGACCAGTGGTAATGTTGGACATACTTCTTGTTTCTAGAATACACTTCAGGCCATCTTAATGCCCTCTTATGTGGAGCGGATTATTCGGAAAACAGTCAAAACATACAATGAGTAAAAACTATAAACAGACATATCCATTGATCAATTTGACAAATGAAATGGTTACAATACCCAAACCCGTGATAATGGCTAATCATTGTTCATTAGTTATCATCCATAGATACTCTTCAGTTACGAAATTTAGTGTTAAGACGCAAAAGTCAGTTGGAGTCGGAAAAAATTCACAAAATTGCAACGATTTTTAATAGTTTATATTTACATGTTACCTCGTAAAAGTATGATACGTTAGAAGGAACTTTTTTTTAAAATTAAATACCCATTTACAAAGAGTATTAAGATGCAAGACATAATGCAAGAGTAACTATTATATAGCAACAAAAAATATATGAAATATACTTTTTTTAATAGTTTGAAACTATTTTATATAAATTACACAACTTTGGTTATTGGCGATTTTGACCAAGCTTATTTTTGTTTGTGTAATGCTTAAATATGAAGATAATTTTACGTTAGAAGGAACTATTTTTCTATGTTAATTATTTATACAATAATAATAGTTGGAAAACTGTTTTCTATAATTACATAACTTTGCACATTAATTAATTTTTAGGTGAAATGTTTAAATACAACGATAGTTTTCCATATTTATTAATTAGTCTACAACCAGAGTTTAACTCTTGTATTTATTTCCAAAGTCGTTCAAATATCGCGCCCTTTTCAAGTCTATTTCAAAAACAAAACTTTGCGCATTAATGAGTTTTTGTATGTGTAATGTTTAAATACAAAGATAGTTTCCAATACTTATTAATTAGACTATAACCAACATAAACCTCTTGTATTTATTTCCAAAGTCCAAATCCTTTTTTAAGTGTATTTATTTCCAAAGTCCAAAGCCTTTTTCAAGTGTATTTCCGATTTCCGACTCCACAAAGTCCAGCAAGGTTAATTCAGGTTAATTCTAGAGCTAGACAGTCCTGAACTGGAACTGAACCCAATAACTAACGTTTCCTCTTCCCTTCCTCTTGCCAAAGTGCCCGGCCGCAGGTGCCCCAGCGTGTCCAGAGCCTGCCCCTCTCGCAGGGGCGGTATGTGGCAGGGGGCGTGCCTCTGGACGGGGCCTCGCCCATCTACGCCCACGTCAGCAAGCGGAACAGCCTGCTGTCCAACGTCTCCGAGCAGTACCTGTCCAGCCAGCAGCTGGGCACCCTGCCCCGACCCGTTCCCCGGAACCAGCTGGTGCTGGTGGACACCGGCGAGGGCGTCCAGGTGGCCCAGCTGGTGGACTACCTGCCCTACGTGCGCCCGGCTCCGGTCCAGTCGCATGTCCAGGGTCACCCGGTCCACCAGGGCTACCTCGTGCAGGACGGCCGGGCCACGCCCCTCATCCTGGACCACTCGGCCCAGCAGGCCAGCCAGATCTACTGGACGCCACAGCACCGCCAGCGGATGTGCCACCCAGTGGCGGCACCACGCCTCATCAAGGCGATGCCCAGCTCCAGGAACAGCACCTTGAGCCGCCACCTGGAGGCCAGGATCGGGAACGCCTCCGACTGGGAACTCAGCTCGGAGGCCGGCGAGGTGCGGCGGATCATGGAAAAACAACTATAAGGTGAGAGTCAAATCAATTGCAAGAAGAAAGCGCTTTAAATCTATTTGTTATACTATTTTAGTTGTGGAGAATTGTATTCGCAAATTTGTAAAAATCTAAATATTTGTCCCTAATCTGAGAGCGATTTGTGATCATAATAATAGTGTAAAGTTATTTTAGCAGTTGCAAAAGCCTTGAAGTTATAACAATTTGACCAGAACGTTGTTATGGTAGCCGTAGAATATAGTTAAACGATTTTAACGGGAAACAACAAAGAAAGTTCAAGTTTAAATACCCTTGCATTTATTGGTTAGTCAATATACGATAAGACAAGGGGAATACCTAAATATTGAGAAAGTTCTACTTGTTACCTTAATTAAAATCGGATGTTCCCAGATTTACATTTAAATTTAACGATTATTCCTAGCGGAGCTTTATGATATGGTCGTTGGTGGTTTTATATAGCTCTTAATATAATTCCGCAATTTTAATAAGTTACTAATTCTCTAGTTTTGAACTAGTGTATGTTTACTAACAAAAACAGCGATTTTCCGATCGTTTAACAACAGCTATATGATATAGTTTTCGATACACTACCTGCTAAAGAAATGGGAGTTTTGGGAAAGTTTCATTCAGATACCAATTCAAAATCTTGCCGACCGGGAATAAAACTCACTTATCAATCTTCGGTATATCTGCAGGGTATTGATACTTCGGCTTGCCGTTCCCTCTGTATATCTGTATATATGTGTGTCTAATTATCCAATCGTATAGTTATATGAAATCTAATTTTTAAACTTTTGAAATTTATTTACACTAAAGAGATCAGGGACAGAAAATAACATTTTTTTTTAAAGTCCTTTTCATATAAATATGAAGGAAAACTGATCAATTTTTTCTAAAGGTTTGGTGTAATAAAATATTAATCACCGACTTTAAAAATAAATGCCAAAAATGAGCATTTCATTATAAGAACTATAATCAAAAATAACTGTTATTTAAAGACATCTTTATTATATTTTTCAAAAAATAACTGTTTTGAAAAAACTTATTATTTTACAATTACCGTTATCACAAATTTTAAAATAGTCATGTACCAGTGGCGGATCTAGGGGGGGCGAAAAGGGCAAGCGCCCCGGGCGCCAAATCTAAGAGGCGTTAAATCGAGTCCGACTAGCAATATATGTTTCGAGAATTCATATTTTCCCGCGGCGCTGCGCATGTAACGCTCCCTATAGAATAGAATAATAAGTGAAAGTGTTTTATGATGTGATCAAAAGGAAAAGGGACGCTCAAAACGTCATAATAAACTTTCTTGCTTAGAGAGAACAATGGCTGGTACTGGGGGTGCAGGTTCTGGGGTGCAGCAAAGAATCTTAGATCGGAACCCATTGGCAACATTCATTCCTTGTAATAATCATTCGCTGAATTTGGTGGGAGTGCATGCAGCTCATGTTAATGCCCAGGCAGTTACATTCTTCGGAACAGTGGAACGAGTATATACCTTCTTTTCAAAATCGACTCATAGATGGGATGTCTTGAAACAACACGCCACAATCACAGTCAAACGTCAGTCTGATACTAGATGGAGTGCCAACGCAGCAGCAGTAAATACTTTATCTACCCAACTTGATGAAGTAATAACAGCTCTAAAAATACTCCGAGATACCTCTTCTGAAACCGTGGACACAAGACAAGATGCAGCACTTGTCATTGGTGCTGTTGATAAATTTGATTTCCTGGTTCTGCTCCTCTTATGGGCAGAGATCCTCCCTTCTATTGACAGAATGCAGAAAATGTTCCAAACCAAAGGGACCACCATCCACGAAGCGACAGAATTACTTGAGACATTGTCAGACCACATAAAAGAGTGGAGAGTTAGTCTTTGCGACATATTGCGTCATATTGAAAGCTAAAAAACTGTGTGAAGAAATGGGCGTAACGATTTCGAAGAGGAGAATCAAGAAACGTAACGATATCTACGAAGAAACAAGACGCTTTTTAGTTGAAATTTTGGACAGCCTTTCAATCGAAGTTTCTACTCGTTTTGCTAGCTTGAGAGTGCTGAATGAGCGCTTCGGATTTTTCTTCAACTTCAAAGAATATCTTGATGACGATAAAGAAGTTTTGAATAGAAAACTATTGGAAGTTAACGATAAATGCAAATCATTAGCTGAAATTTATTCTAATGATTTAAATGGTACGGATTTGTTTCACGATATCAAAGATGTCATTTTTCTTCTGAAAAGGGCCAATAAAAAGGGAGAGAGTCTTGATCTCACTGCAAAAGGAATACTATTGTATATTTCATCGTTGGGGTTAGAGGCGTACAAAACACTTGTGACGGCATTGAAAATTTTGCTGACTCTACCATTGTCCGTGGCTTCGTGTGAGCGATCATTTAGTAAATTGAAATTGATAAAATCTTATCTCCGCACAACCATGAACCAAGACAGGCTGTCAAATTTAGCTATACTATCTATCGAAAATGAAGTATGTAGCAGCATCACTCGACTACAATGATATTATTGCTGAATTTGTGGCAATCAAGGCCAGAAAAGTTATATTCTAAAAGTAGTATTTTTTTGTCTTGCAAAAACACAAATAATAATGTTTTTTTCCGTTGTAACTGACAAAAGAATCGATATGAAATACAATTCTTCAAACATATAAGCTTTTAATAATTAATAACCTATTTACACTTAAAATACTCCTAATGTTATTCGTACAGCAAACCTAGATCCGCCACTGTCATGTACTTATATTATTTTAAACATGTATAAGTCACATTTATGCTATTTGCTAGCTTTCTTATTAACTTTATTTAGAAATCCAAAAAAAATTTTATTAAAGAGGAAAACATTATAAAAGTGTTAACTAATACTGTCCCTGCATATACATAAGTTAATAAAATGGACTCTTAGGAGCATTAAATATGCAAATCTCATAAAAAAACCAAGCGCCTTAGTATGCCAGTATTTGACTTTAGCGTAGTTCTAAACCAAGGCTTCAGTCCGTAGTGCTGTATAAATCGTAAAGTTTCGCTTACACTGGGACTGTGTTATTGTTTTATAGGCTAATCCTTTTTTACATGTTCAGGATAGAAGCCTAGTGGTGGAAATACGATTAAAATCCGGAGGTTTTTTTTCCATAAAAATTGTATGCATATTTATCTTACATTAACTTATATATACATTTGTATATACATTTAATTGTCACAAAAAAATTGTTATTATTAATATGGTAAATTAATTACATCTTTCATTAATTTAAGCAAAAAGGAGTGGAAAAACTTTTATTTAAATTAACGGTGTATATAAATGGTATTTCCTGAAACTGAAACTGCATACTGGTATTTAGTTTTGGGCCGGTTGGTATTTTTGATCGGTTTCGGCGCGGTCACACTGGTCGGAATTAAATTTATTTATTTACCACTGAAGATAGCTGTTACAGGTCCTAGTTATTTTTAAATTATCGGTCTTTTACCAAAGCTCCCGCAAACAGTGTGAAATCGAGGTTTGTAGTGCACTCAATGTTACGCAGGCCACAATCCAAATTACAAAGAATCAAACAAAGTTAACACACACAAGTGAAATCGTGTTTACATATATGCATTGTTTTCAACTTCATTGGGAAAAGATATTCACACAGACATATCCATGCATATGCGTTTGAAGGTCGAAGTGGCAGTAGGCCTAATCAGCCCAAAATAAAATAGAACCTTGCAATTTTCCCCGAAATTTCCTTTTATGACGTATGTACTGCTATCTCGCTCTCGCTTTCGGAAAGGTGCACGTGTGAAGAGTACCATTGTATCGCCTTCTCGCTTAGTTTTGCGTCCAATTCCGGGGCTTCAAAGTTTTCTTCTCTAGGTCAGTGCCAAAATGACGGGAAAATCGGGAAAATTCGAAGCTATCCCCAATAATTGTTTATTCTGTGTACTGTCTAAAGAGCAGCCCCATTTTAAATTATCCTCGTAAAGAGCACATAATTTTTTTTTCATTTACATGTTCCCTTTATATGTACATAAATTGTTTTGCTTATTGCGCATATAATTAATTCCTACTTTAAAATGCTCAGAGTCTTCGAGATGGCCTGTTTATACATATACCCATCAAAAGTAGAATATGGACATGACCTGCTACTTTAGTATATTGATAGCCGAGCCCCGGGTAAACAGCGCACACTGGGGAAAAAGAGGCAACATTGCAGACCAAATTGAGTTAATAACCACAACAAACAAAAAACTTAGTTAGAAAATCGTGCATCGCAGAAGTATTTTTTTAAACTTCTTTAAATGTCGGTTTAAGTTTCTGCAAATTTTTGGAATTTTAAATTATTTCATGAAACTTTAAATAAATTCCGTTACAAACTAAATTCCGATGTAACACTACTTCCCGAATAATATTTTAAGCTACTTTTAAAAACTTGCAGGCCAGAAAACTATGTTTTTGTTCTGAACAAAGTGTTTAAAAAATGATTTAAATGTCCCAAAAATCTGTTTAAAAATTTGTTACCTACGTATTTTTTTGATGCTAATTAAAATATTTAATATTTTTAAATAAAAAAAGAAAAATGAAATATTGATACGCAATAATTTTGTAGATTAAACAACCTCAATGTTTATGAAAATATACAATTTCAATAAGAGCGATTGTTTAAATTAAGTTGGCATATTAATTGTTTTTGTAACTGCAAGTGTATGTCTTTTTCCGAAGCTATTTCCCATTTTGCTATTGCTATATATTAAAAAAAGAGGAATTCTAATTTGCAGACGACAGCGCAGAGATGGAGACGGAGGGCAGCAGGAGCGAAGACATTGGGCGAACTAAGACCACTTTCAGCGAGGAGTCTCTCGGGAGCAGTTCCTCGTCGTCAGTGCTTAACTCGTGGACCATTTTGCCGGTGGTAAAGGACAAGGACAAGGAAAAGGAAGACGGGCTGGAGAAGAACGAAGAGTTGACAGATTTGAGGCCCAGCAGTCAAGCGGACAAGCAAAAAAACGAGAGGTGAGTCTGCCTGCCATGGCATCTCTCTCCCCTGTAAAATTAGACATAATCGGTTCCTCCATTAGATGCAACAGGCATGCGGCCGAGGATCCCCAGGCGGACGACATTTCCGATGGAATTTCAATAATCAGCGACTGCGAGAGCACTGATCGTATATCGCCCAATCTCTTTCTGCGCGAACCCCTCGTCGACTTGGGCTTCGGCGAGCTCCCGACGAGTCCCATCGAACTGATCGCACCTGCCAGCGGCGGGCAGCAGCTAAAGGAGTACCCCGAGCGGCAGCAGGAGGATTCTGCGACCGTGGTGCGCTCCAAGCTGGAACTGCAGCTGCCACCTCTGGTCCAGAACGGCCTGACCGCATTCTTCTACGTAGCCTCCACCCTGGCCATTCTGGCCTTCGTCGGCAAGCTGCGCCACCCAGAATGGCAGGTCCTGGGCGAGGACAAGCCCTTGGCCGAGCTGGAGCGCCGGGTGGGAGAGCTGGAGCTACAGAACAACCTGCTGCGGGCCGAGATCGATATCATGTCAAAGAAACTGCAGTACCTTGGATCTGGTCAGGATGCGGGGCAGCGACCGGGCCGTCCGAAGGGCAAGACGTTCAAGGCATGGCCTGGCAACGGCGACACTGTGAGTCCAGTCGACATAACCAAGGCCGACCTGAAGCAGCCGTTCCAGTGCCCTGACGGCAAGTTCGTTCAGATCGCTGGCATGTGCTTGGAGAACAACCGGGCGCCCTTTGATGCTCTGACGGATGAGATCGGAGATGCAGTTAACGACGTGCTACAGCAGTCTGGAGCCTTTCACAAGTTTGAAAAGGTCACCGAGAAGCTGGGCACCTTTGCTGGCGACAACGAGGACGTTGGCGCCGCTCCAGGTGCAAACGACTTTCCGTCGAATGGTAGGCCAGAAGCAGCCACTTCCCATGGCCAGCCAAAGCTGGCGAATGGTTCGAAAGAGCGCTTCAGGCCAAGGCACAAGCCGGATCACTCGCACGAGATGAAGCAGCGGCGACAGGAGCAGGATCATGGCCGCAGAAGCCGGCAGGATGAGCACTCTAAGGAGCACGGCAAGAAGAAGTACTACGATCAGTCCGGCCGGGGTCGCTACAACAAGAACGCCAAGAAGCCCAACGACGACTCCAACGAAAACAGCAAGGAGCGCGACCAAAACAACGACAGCGGCAGCGGCGAGTGGCACGAGCGGATGATGCAGCAGCGGGAGAACGCGCGCCACAAGCACGCCCAGAAGCGCAACAATAACAACTGGTACATCGAGCGGGGCGATAGTCGCGAGAAGATGCGTTCCGGCGAGACCCAGCGCTGAATGGAGCTTAATCCACGAAACTCATCAAGACGATGACCTGGATCTTTATCCAAAAAGGATAGAACTTTCGCCTGAGGTCACATATATTTTAATCCCAAAGTATACTTAAGGACAACGTGTGCTAGTGAGCGCACACTGAATTGCGCTGGTTCCTAACTATACATGTGTGTTTACAATATTTCGACAATGTTTCTACAGCGCGTTTCAAGAATGTGGTAGCGGATTGGCTTTTGAAACACACTTAAGAACATGAGCTTAACACGCATCGAGCGATGCACGTGCTTAATATTTATTTATTTTTATCTACAAATACCGTTTTTGGCTGCGTCAAGCTAGCATTATCCTTGTATCCCAATTTCGTAATGTATGTACATATACAGATTCAATAGTCAGTGTTAAATACTAGTGGATCGCATTTTTATTGGAAACATCATACTTGTCGCACACATTTAACTCAAGTGGTTCAACTATTCATTTTATCAGATGTTTGTTTTAAATATTCTAAATATGGTTCAGAAGCAATAATGTTGACAACTAATTAGCAGCAGTTGAAAAGTCCAGAAAACTTAAATCAAATTGTGAAATTTAAGTTAAATGTGAGCGATGTCTTTGTATAATATCGGTTCCTTCCACTTAAGAGTGTGATTCTTCTGCTAAGTTCCAGCTCAACCTAAGAGACAGGCCGACCCAAGTGCGGATTCACTTGGCACAGTCCGTCAATAAAGCAAAATCAATTTCCCTTCAACGATTATATCAATGATCCTTTTGAAATAGTAGATTTCCCTAAAATTATGTATTGATATATACATATATATTTGTGATACCTATACTAATATTTTTTTTAGGCTAGAAAAATAAATTATTGTACCATATTAGGTATTCCTGGAAAGCCAATTCAAAAAAAAAAAAATTAAAGGAACAAAAATCCATATTTTTGTATGCATGTTCGTTCAAAACCTAAGCGTATATATAAATGTATAAATGTGTACCCAAAATGTTTTGCGATTAAATAAATAAAATATCCTTAAACTTTATTTAAATTTATTTTCAATGAAAAATGGTTTACCTATCTGACAACCTAATTTACTTCTCCGTCTGAGAAAAAGTGTTGTTTCAAGTAAACGACAGTAATAATAGATAGACATATTACAAGTTTTTTTAATATTAATCCAAAAAGAAAGTTCATTATTGGATATATAGAAATACGTCCTTGTGAAAGGTATAGAGTCCCAAACTAAATTCCAACTCTCTAAATGGAATATTTCTTACAAATTCACTAATTAATTAACAAAGTTATGAATATATTATAGCATTTAGCTTTGCGTCCAAACCGTTATCGTATTCCTGGTTAACTAAGTCAATTTTAAACTGTAAAATTCCATATTTTTCTCAGTTTATTATTTTTTTCAGCTTACTATGAAGACAAGAAAACGGTTGAAATCATAGTTTGCTTTTACAACTTAGTGGAATTTATGAAATAGCACTTTTAACGTTTAAAAAATACAACTACGTTTTAAAATAAAATTGGGCATCTCAGGAAGGGGGTATAAATAAAATTTAGCTTTATTTGAAAGATATTTATTTATAGATTTAAGGAAAAGCTATGTCGCGGATATATTTGCCGATAGTATCGGGTAAAAAACTATTACTGACATATTAAATTAAGCATTTGGAAAGCCTACAAAAACTTTTTAAGGGTATAGTTTTATTCAAAAATCTGCAGTAAAAACATAAATCCCTTTGCAAGTTATAAAAGCTAGAAATAGCTCTTAGGAGCACACAACCCGTTTATTTAAAACCCAATATTGCGTACACAATAACCGAGGAAGGTAAGTTTTTGTTTTTAAGTATTAACAACGCAACAAAAAAGTTTGAGTTGTTTAACAATTTTGGATTAAAACAACAAGTGTTATAGTGAAAGCAGTTTGGGGAGTTCCGACAAAACCTGCTCGGGAAAATAGCACTACCGTCTGCTTTTTTCAAAAATCTTAACACAAAATTTAAAATAATTTATAAATCAATTTTCAAAAATATAGCACAACTAACAGAATTCATATTAAACGTATACAGTATAATGTTCTATACGTTTTTAGTGCAGTTAAACCAAAATAAAAGGAAGTGTGGCCTTATACCAAACCTTCGAATGAGGTCCACTTTAATGTACAGAATGTGTGAACGCAAATGTTACGTGCCCATGCACTTTCATTTCTTGCCCCAGTTTTCGGATACGCGGGGGCGGATGGAGACGGGGGCTGAAGAGAGACTTTCCGTTGGCTGGCATGGTGGGCGTGGGCGGGGGGTGTGTACTAAAAGTGTGCCACGGAAGGACATGCACTCAGCGCGCAAGCCCTCCTAGGCTCGATTTTACTACGAGCCCAGCCAACACACCCCCACACACTCCTGCACTCGGAGTCACGCGCAACATTATTTAGAGCACTGAAAACAAGAGGGAAAGCTGACTTCGACAAGCCGAAGTAAGTATACATAGGCCTACAGTTATTTGTTATTTGTATTGTTATAATGTATGGCCATACAAACATGTTTATGATATGATGATATGTACATCTAAGATATTTTCATGTTACTTTGGACCATTTTTAAAATTATTTTGAAATTATTTTCAATTTACACTATTTTAATTTCAATAAAACTTCACTGATGGCATAATGGACGTCGCATAGTACAACGCTGAAGACGATCTTCAAGGACCAAATCAGGTCGGATTAAAATAGAGAAAATACAAGTTTTGTTGGGGATTGACTAAAATTAAAAGGTTCGCAAACCAGAGAAATCTTTTTAATCTAATATTATATCAAAATAATAAGTGATTATTATTCGGTTAGAAGGTTAGGAAAATCATAACTGCACTTTAATTGCACTTCTAATAGAGTTTCTAATTCCGCAAACAAAAAAAAATCATGGAAAACAGCATACAAAAATTATAATTTATGTTTATGTATGTTTACCTTAAATTGGTCTAGAATGTTATGGTCCTACTCTCACCAGCGTAAACTATTTATATATTATTATTTATGTTTATTTAAACGTACCTCAAGTTTGACTAACTACTCAGATTTGTGCTTTTAAATCGTTTAAAAAGAAATTTGTTAGAAAAAAATGCGTTTTGGGGTTAGCCCATTGGCTTCACAGTGTATCACTCATACGCACTGTTGCTCGTTATCAAATCCAGGCTGCGCAGAAATGATCAAAATTCTAACAGGCATATTGAAGCTTTTTATAGAGGTGAAAAACATTTAAAATCAACAGAAAAATTGTAATTATTTTTTTTTATATATTTTGGTTTTTTTTGACATTGATTCGTGACTTCACAATTAAAATCGTAAAAAACCTGGTTTGTTTATGTATTTTGTTACTCTAAAAAGTTAAATTCCGCATAGTAGATTACTTATTTAATATATGTACAATCGTTGAATCTTTATCTCTTAAAAAAATTGACGGTCCCGCTTTTTTGCGGATATTTTTATATTGTTTAACATTGATTGAATGTTAATTTTAAGTACATTAAGTTTTCTAAGTGCCTTTATTAAAATATTAAAGAAATAAATCATAAAATTCTTAAAATTTTACAATAATTATAATTGTTTGTGCAATTAAACATTTTATGAGTAACTTACTATTATCATGGATTTTTTTAGGACAGCCAACGAACAAAATTGTTGATCTGATAGAAATGAATGGGAGCCATGTGGCACTGTGAAGGACTTTTGAACATGCTCTACATTTAAGGGCGGACGTGCAAACCTCTGATTAGAATCATACTACCCTACCGTAACCAAGGGTATAAATGTGTCGAGAGAAAAGCGCCCACAAAAAGAGAGTGCAAGTGAAAAAGGAAGAGAGAGAGAACCAAGTTTAGAACATTTAGCTTCGTGAGCGATTCGTGCGTAGTGCCGAATGAAATTACCGTGGTGGTGGTGGTGGTGCTGCTGCTGGTGCCGAAGTGTGCGTGTGCACTTGTTTTGTTGTTGGCTCACTTCACTGTTCACTCGTTCGCGCGTCAATTCAGTCTCAGTTACTAAACCGATTTCAAGAACCACGGACGCTCCACTCGGCCCTTGCTAGTGGCGTGTGCTACAATTAAGTAACGGGCAGAGACATTTCACAAAAAAATATCCCAAAACAAAAACAACAATGAGAAACCGAAAGTCCCAACAATTATACTAAACAAGAAATGAATAAATAGACATCCGAGCAGCACATATACCCACACAAAAAACAACAGCATACCAGTTGGGAGAACTGGGCTATTTTATAACTCGCCAAATCCTTCGTTCAATACAACGACGTGCAGGACAAGCCTACCAAAAGCTAGAAAATCGGACCCGCAATAAGCATCAGAGAATTGCACCGGTATTTTCCAAAAATGTTTAAGTACGAATTTTATCTATTTCTCAAAAAAATGCAATATATTCGTGTGCTTGTGTGTTTTGTGCAAGAATCAAGAAAGCTGAGAACTATCCCAAATACACATACACACATAGTCCACCCCCCATACAGAAAATACAATAACAATGATAGCGATAGAGCAAAAAAAAAAAAAAAGGAGATGGAGCATCTTTTCTCTCACTTTCGCTCGGCTGTTTTCATATCGTTTTGTTTTGTTGTCGTTATGGCGCTCAGTAGAGCACTAGAGCGCTGAGCGCCGAAAGGGACAGCTGTTCCTCGCCAAAATGGGTAGAGCCAGACTTTGGGGAACGGGCACACTATAGGTATAGCTGTAGCTATAGCCAAAGCTCCCATTCTCGCTGGCGAGTGTGAGTGGGAAGCAGGGTCGGCGCCAAAATCCCATACAGTCGAACTTCCATATCCCAAGCTAAGAAAAAATTCGAGTAGTGGAGACTCGAGTAATAGGATTGACCATAAAAGCAAGAGTTCGACTTGTAGAGACTTCGAGTTCAAACTGTGGAAGTTTGATTGTAGTCCCTACGTATAGTATTTTGGCGCCAAGTTTACACGAACTGAAAAGTGAGTCCCATCAGAGCCTTATAAGCTATGTATCTGACAGCTGATGGCAGCGAAAGCGACCCCTTGCACACTCAAACCTACCTAAGTCAAACCGCCATCCCTCTTAATAAAAACATTTTTTTGCACGTTTTATAAAACAACATTACTTAATTCTTAACCGACTGAAAACCCTTATTATCGTGGTCCAATTTGAATACCCTTTAAAGAAGAAGAGAAGTACAACAAGTGCAGTTGTCATTTAATTGTGAGAATAAACACTTAGGGCTAAAGTTTCTACACTATTAAATCGTGCTAGGGACGTCCCACTGTATTTTCCGCACAAACCTATTCAGTTGTTGCACAACAAAAACAGAATGTTATAATAGTGCATGTGTAGTAGATTCATTTGCGTAAGTTTGAGGAAGCATCGATGATTCGATAGCGATTGTTGCAACTTGCAGTCGAAGAGGAGGAGAAACCAGTGGCCACCGACTGCAGCTGCTTTTGCTTTTCTGCCAGAACAGAAGGCAAGTGCTCGGCAAACCCCAAACCCAAAATACGAACCCGGGCCAGACGGTACTTACACTGAGTCAGACCATCATTTGGCATTTCGTCGCGGGGTTCGTCGCTGGCTTATTGGTATCTACATACGCTCGTACATACAGAAAAAAAATGTGTATTGTGCTGTACACATTCAAGTGTGTGTAGACATTCCGGCATGGCAGTGTATTTGTCATTTCAATTTTCGTGTGTGCTCAGATAAACGAGAATCATGTGCCTTATTTTTTTTTTCTTTTTTTCCGCTTGGTGAGGTAAAACATCTTGCTGTTGTGTCTAAATATGAACAGCTGATTTTGTTTTTGTGGCTCATATGATAATATAATGATGATAATGATGCTTTATGCTCATGCTATGCCGTAGGTCGCAAAAAAATGTTGGCAAGTGCAGTGCACAGGTGAGAATAAATAATAAAAAGAGGAGGAAGCGAGAAAATGCCAATAGTTCACGCATACAAACACAGACGAGCACCGTTCGGTCAGCTGTTTTGTGTTGTCTTGAGCACAGGGTCTCTCATTTTTCCCCTGCGTCTCCTCTCTCGTCTCTGCGCACTCGGGGAAAAATTAGAGCAACGCCTGCTCCAACGCTCGATAATCTGCGGGAAATGCTGCAAGCTATAACTAAAAATAATTTGTGGTGATCTTGTAAAACGAAGTGCTGCCCAGTGAGCATATCTACAAGATAGAAATGCATATTATAATAACGAGTGAGTGTGATTTACCCATTAAATGCTGCAAAGAAAACCCCCAAAGCGTTATGCAATGTATTGAAAATCTCGGAGCTTTTTGTCGATGATAATATGTCGAGTGCGACAGAGTGCAAACATGGCATCCAGATCAGCGGGATCTAAAGTTTTTTTTTTTGGGTTTTTCGCGGGTTTTATGTAATGCCTTCATTCCACTGACACTCGAATCTGTTCACTCCGAAAATTACTTTGATTGCAGCCTGGAAAAATGCAGTGCCAATGATTTAAAGACATTCTCGCTTTGATCTGCTGTGTAAAGAAAAGTAGATTACACTTACAAAAGATGAATGCAATTCAAATAAGAAACGAAAAACCAAATAAAAACAAACGAGCAATACAAGTTGACATTTGGCGAGCTGAGCGTATGTATGCGCATATACACACAGCTGTAAGCAAAATAATAGCGTCTTAAATTTATACTTTATTTCGGTTTTTTAAAGGTTGGTATAAAGCTAAGAGTTATTTTTATTTTTTAGCGTTTTAAATAAACAGTCACCAAAAACAATTATTTGATAAAGAATTTCTTAAGACTTAAATGCTTTATAACTTTTTAAGTCCCTATTCAATTACAAAGCTTGTAAATATTCCTGTTAATGAATACAAAATGATCTAATATTTTCTCATTTGCCACGCCGCAAGGAAAACCACCTGTATAGATAAAAAGCTTAAAGAATATGCTGCAACGTGCCGATTAATTAGTACAAATTTGTAGTCAAAATTTACAAAAACTCACAGCTGTATGAACATTTGTGTTACCTTATCTAATTATCTTTACACAATCGAGCCAATGTCAGTCTGCTAATGGTTGTACTTTAAATACCCTTTACTACCTATTATGCAGGCACGCAAATTGACAGCTTAACTTAATTGATTTCAATTTGGATAATTGAAAGACAAAAGCGCTGGTACCGAAAAAATGCTACCTCATAAACGGTAAAAACTACATACACACAGAAAAAAAATGTAAAGTGATATCTAAAATAACCACTTTTAATTACAAATCAAGGTGATTCAACCCTCTCTCGCTTTAAAATTGTACGATTTTCAATGGGCTTGGAAATTAAGAAATATTAAGATACATTACAACAAATGTTTGCTTATATAAAATATTAAATTTCCACAAACATGAGCTTTCAATTGCTAAATTGTTATATACAGGCCTGACTATATTGACTCGGTACACGATTTTGATCAAAGTTAATTATTTCATCAATATTATAATTAATAAATATGACCTATAAAAACGACTTTGTATCTAAAAACTTCAGTCATCCTAATTTAAATTATAATGTTGCATAGCTGGTTTTAAAACCCCGGAGGTTTCTGTGGCACCGCCAGAACAATATAAAGGCTGTTTATAGTAAGGTTTTATATTATCTGATTGTTAAACCGACATGCATTTAATGTGAATGCAATTTTAATGCAGGGTTATGTAAGCTTTTACATTAATCTACATATGTGCTCGCATTGCGCGTGTGTGTGCTGGCCAAGTGAACTTGAAAAGCCCTATTTTCACTTTTACGCCAGTACATAAGACACGGGTAAATGCAAAGCGTCTTTAAACGCCCGTAGTATTTGTGTCCTGTCCGGAATTGTGCAACGGGTATAGTAATGTAAAGGGAATCGGAAATCGGGAATCGGGGATCGGGGGCTCCACGAAGTTTATTTAGCGAGTGCCACGAAAATAGACGGAGGGCGGAGTTTGGCCACATGGCCTTTCGGCTCAAGAACTCAAACAAGACGCCTCCATGTCGTTTTAATCAACCTTTAAAACTGGTGGCCCAGATTTTATTGATTTTATGTTGCGAAGAGCGACCCACACAGCCCATTGAAGAGTGCACTGGCGCTCGGGGAGAGTGTCGAAGCGAGAGATACCGAGTGCACGGTGGGGGTGAGAGAAAGGCCATCAGCTGAGAGAGTTCACTTTCTCCGCCCGTTTCCATTTCCAGCCACTACGAGCAACAGCAGCCTGTACATATATACAGACACAGTCAAATATGTACATGTGTATGCACGGACGTGCGAGGACTCCGAGCTCGGTGATGTATTTGAGGAATTGCGAGGTGAAATGTCAACTGAGTCTCGCCTTCGGCGAATACAGGAGTTGGCTTTAGTGATAAAGTTTCAAATCTGAGATGTTTTGCAAAGTGACTTTAAATTGTGCAACGTCTTCATCGGCCTTCCTAAAATATTGGCACATTTATCAACATTATTATTGTTTGTGCAAAATATTAGGTCCTGTAAATGTACATATGTATACTCTATAATCAGCATCAACAGGCGAGTCGATATACATATATGTATGTACTTCTATTTCTGTACCGTTTACGTTTTGTTTGTAAGCTTTATATGGAAGTAAAATTAACGTTTACGAAGATTAAGACTGAAAACATATCTTAAAATTCATGAGGTTTAAGCTACGATCCTAACAATTCAAAACAAAACATTTTTAAAAATCAATCGAGCTAAGTAGGCTCAAGTTACTTTTCTTCTTACTGATTTTTAAATAAATCATCATTATGTATACACCTGTTTTAAATATATTTTGAACTAATGCATGACCAAACAGTTTACGGATCATTCTATCAAATATGTGATTTATGTATTTCGGTGATTGTTTTGTGGCACCTATTACTCTACTGAAAGGCTAATCGTGTTAGAAAATACAAATACTATTGGATTTCTATCATTGTGATATCTGCGATTGCAAGCTGTTCATACTGCTTTCTAATTTCTCCTGTAGAAATGGCGTTTTATCTATCCTTTTGTTATTAAATTGAGAATTTTCATTGTGCTATTTACATCATCTGAAACATCGAAGATGTGAAGCACAGTAAGACAATTTTGTGATTAATTCAAATTGACCAATGCGCATAGTTGTGAAACTATAAAAATCGTATTTTTACAATAAAAAGAAAGTTCATGTTCATGTTTTGGCGATGGCTTGCTTAATTTAAAGTAAACTTATCAAAAAAATAATAGTTTTTAAGTTAAAGATGTATTTATTTTGTCGTTACAATACTTTTAGACATGTTATTTAGACTATTTTTTTTTAGTTATATAGGCATTTATTATTTTTTTATTATTTGATTAGCGCACTGCTACTAAATTGCCAATTTAGACTATGAAAATAAATTCTCTAAAGTAACTTATTTAACTAAAATATATTATTTTGTTGTAGCATACTTTAAGGTTTTAGGATTTACTCTAATGTGTGCGTTTACAGGAAGATTTTTGGACTATATAAGATATCTATGGTCGTGCTTCATGCACTTCCACATTAACTTGGATCCAAGTTTATTCACAGTTTTATTCGGCTTGGGGTGATTCTATTTTAATAACTGGTGTTTGCATAGTTTTTTAGTAGAACTACCATTTTTCGGTAACGTTACTGTTTATTGTATATTTAGTTACTCAAACGTAATGGTTACAAAAAAATAGTCGTATTAAACCTAAATCTGTATCACAAAGAGCCCATTCCATTGCTCAAGTGTGTTTGGTCGGAATTTCTTGTTGAATTTCTCACAAATAAACAATTAAAACTGCTTCAATCCATTAAAATAGTCTATAGTTAGTAATAGTCAATAGCAAATGTAATTGTTTTATCGCTGTTAGCATTTCCAAAAGTAAACTTAGGTCCCAACTAGTGTTGGATGTTTATAAAGACTGACAACAAAAATGATCCTGTGAAATATAGTCATAAACTTTCAGTGATTGAGTTGATGGTTTTGGTATACGGTAGTGCGTGCACCAGTAGATAACTATAAAAGCAGAAAGGAAGAAAAATAAATATCTCAAAAGTATGCAAACAAAAACTATATGAAATATATTTATAGCTAAGATACAAGATACAAATATTTAAATAATGCAATTTCAGAATGCACAAGTAACGTATTCAATAGATATTTGATGCTTATTTTAATATAAAAGTAGTTCCAGAACTAAGCGTATATTTCAATTATGCAAAATAATTGTTTTCTGTGTTTCGCTCCTTTATACTGATAATCATCGAATCAGTATTTTAAATTTCTGATCAAAAATATTGATGTATTATACGTTGGAGGCGATTAGTTTACGTTTTTTATGGTATAAATAGAATGTGAAAACAAATTTTTAAATTTGATACATATATAAAAATTTTATCTGCATGGAAATCATAAAGAACATTTTTTTAAAGGCGTTGTAGTTTTGTGCCTTTTGACCTTTTGGGAAATGGCTACATGCAAATACGGGCATTAACGAATAGCAATTGGTGTATGACACAATATTTTTCTCTTGTTATATTACATATGTATCTATGTCCGTAAGCGTAAATGGTTTTGCGTTTAAATTTGTTTTTGACTTAACTGATTTGGGTGATTTTATAAAGCTGCATAAAGCTGCCGCTGTTAGCACCTATACCCTGATGAAGGCAAATGTCAAGCCTTCGTAACGGCTATGCCTTCCAAAGCATGGCCTTCAATTGGCTTACAAAATACGAAAAGCAGGTTATGTACATGCATAGATACGCACACACACACACAAACACGCATGACCCCGCTGCATTCACACAGCTGCAGTTCTAAAATATTCGTGAGTGGGCGGAATGGGGTCTGGGTGACGTATGTTTTGTTACTGCGCAGTGGGTCACCAGTGGAGAAAAGAGAGAGCATATCGGAGGGGAAGAGAAGTGGCCTTTGGCTGAGTCTTCTCTTCTTTTTCACGGAGTAAAATTATGGAGAAAGAGGTTACAACATTGTTTAGATGTGGTAAAAATTAAAAGTCAAAATAATCAAAGTATAAAAAGCATGACCGCGAACTCATTAGCAAGAAGAGCTACGATCATCTAAGATCTAAAAAATTCAAAGCCACAAATTCTTTAGGTTGAACTGGTCGAGCTCGGAGCAGTATTCGTATTCACCAAAAGAATTATCAGCTCCAAGAAAGTAATATAATCTTAAAAAAAGGATTATTTTTACTTACATATGTATGTTGATGCTATTCTAAAGTACATGTCTAGCTTAATGCGTCAATTTTTTCAAGTGCAGCCAATCATCTGCTTTTGCTCAGCAGGCTCTCTCGTTCTGTGCTCCTCTCTTGGTTTGGTTAAATTGACTCGGCTTTCGGCATGTACACATGCAAATGTAGATGTGTGTCCGTGGGAAACCGACACCCGAAGGCCACGAAGTGCTCCGTCACAGCTTTATTCTCACGCACCTCTGAGAGCGTCCAGCCTTAAAGGCCGCTCTCCCACAAGCCCCGTTACCGTTACGGGGTGCCTTCGGACCGACGCTCAGCTGTGCTCCAGTTTCGCTCCCGAATGCAGTTGTATTGCCCCTTTAGTCCCGATTCGGAGCAAAGCTCCTTCTCGGATAAACATTTAACCTAAATTCCCTCAATGACGTAGGAAGAAAAGAGCGCATGCACATACACAAACATAAATTGGCTGGAAATCTGATGCAAAAAATGCATTCGTTGGTACCACGCAGTTCACTAATGAAATAGGTATAACAACTTGAGTGGCACCAAACAAACCTTTTTAAAAACCAATTTTCTATAAGAAGTCACAACAAAAATAAAATGTCCATAAATCAGTAAAACAATTGGATTAAATATGACCTTTAATTTTAAAAAATACAAATTTTCTTTACTACAAAAAAGAACACAAGAACCGAATTTTAAGTTATAAAAATAATCTTCTAAATATTTATTAATAATACAAAAGAATTGATTAACATTATTTTTTCGGTAGTGAGAAGTTAACTCTCATTTTGATTATTTATAAGCTTCAAAAGAATCTGCTGAAATTGATATTCATTTAATGATATTTTAGTCAAATTACCCGAATTGCCAATTTTTTTACAAATCATAGACTCTAGCTTTACTGAAAAAAAATAGTTAGGAGCAAAAGCCATTGTCATAGTTGTTTATGCTTCTGTAAGCACAAAAGGCAGATCAATCCATCACACCCGATGCGATCATGAACAAATCGTCCTTATGTATGATTAAGTCAAAGTTTCAACATGCAATAATCTTTTATTAAAGAGCACAGGAAATTTGGAAATGAACCTTTGTCCGCACGATGAACTTTTAACTAAATGGCATCATCGCTCGTCTCTACGATGCGGCACATGATTGGAATATCTTCCTCCTTGGTGAGGTTTCCCTTCGCCTCTCGGTTTAATAGGCCTTGAATGTAGTCATGCCGAAATTTGTTCCACTGCCGGGTCTTGAGAAAGTTGGTGAACAGGTCCTGCCGTGAGGGCACATTGCACTCAAAGTAGAACCTGCGCCGGTGCCAAATGTTTCCCGGATTCTGCTCCTCTTCGAGAAGCCAGTAGCGCGGGATGAGCAGGCACTGTACCGCGGTGCGGGCCATAATCACACGGTGCTCCATCTTCTCGCCCAGACCAAAGATACTTCCGTAGGTCAGGGAGCCCACGTCTATGAAGTGTGTCTCAGCCGGGACCTAAAAAGGATAGGAGCGTTCGTTAGACTCTGTGACTCTAAAATGGGAAAAGCTTTGGAGGTCGAAGTTAGTTCCTGGGACATACCATCAGCCAATAAACCCCATTTGATAACCACTTTTATCCGGCAAGTGAACTAATACTCACAGCACATGGCTTGGTCCCATCGTCAATGTGTTTATCACTGGTCAAGGAACTAGCCGTGAATATTTCCGATGATGAACTGGACTCTTTCTTTCCCTCGGAACTCACGGCGCTGTGCCGCTTTAGCTGCACTTGCACCATGGTCCTGTCCATGGAAACATTGTCCGAATCATAGCTGCTGTCATCCGAGCCATACTCGAGGAGATCTTCGCCGTAATCGAAGGCATCTTCATTGTCGCCCAGGGAGTCGTCGTCGTCCGAAATCAATGCTGCGCCGGGCAGCCAAGGAGTGCCTCGCCGCAGTGACTGAATTAATTGTGTTTTCCTGGCCTGAGCCTGAGTCTGCAAATTCATTGTTCTTCTCGGCTTCATCCTCCGTCGAGTAGGTGTGGCGGAGGTGCGCATGCCACAGTACTTCTGAATCTCGTCGAGTCCCATTTTGCGCATCTATACGAAGTTCATTAGGAAAGAGATCTCAAGACAAGGGGAAAATATATACCGTCTGCTTTTTCTTTGTGGCACCTTCGACGTCGTCAGAGGAGGAGGACGATGCCAAAATGTCCTGTATGTCTACGAACGACGAGGCGTGCATGCTAATTTCCTTCCAGGACTGAAACATGTCAAGTCCCTCCTTATCCTTGTCAATTTCGGTCAACTCGTAGTTGGTCTTTCCGTCCTTGTGCGTGACCTAAGCAGGAAAACAATTGGTGTGGATTTAACTGGACTGCGAAACAAATGTACACATGCACCTTCATGTTCAAGCACTGCAAAATGACGCACTCTCCGCTAAGGACGAATCGCACAAAGCCCAGGGAGCCCTTGTCCCCCAGGTAAATGGTCTCCAGGGGTTCGTACTGCACCAAGTAGGCGTACTTGCAGGCGAGGATGATCTGAAAGCGAAAAGCAGTCAAGTGAATGGATCTGTGACCTTGGACCAACCTGTTCCGGGCTCAGGAAATCAAAATAGTCAAATGCCTTTAGTGCGAGCTTCTTTTCGTCCCATTGCTTCAACATAAATGGTTTTAAGATGCGTTCATACTCCATATCATATATCGACAGAACCTCACAACTAGCTAAATTAAGCCATTTCGTAAAACGAAACGTAATTGACCTTCAGTTCTTACACAGGGCCTGGTAGGAATTCATTCTTGGGCAATCCTCAACCATTTCCACGTCTCCAAAGCAATCTCCTGGGCCGAATATAGCCTCCGGCACAGAATCCTCTTGTTTCGTAGTCTAACAAAGAGAGTCATAATACTATAGGCTTTAGCGTGGTAAGAAAGATTAATAGAAGAGTTTACGCGTGATTTTACAAAACAAAAATGCAACTAAAAAACTGTAGTTACAGCAGCTAGTGTGCAAAGTGCCATTAAGTAGTCTTTTAGACAACACTTGTTTAATTTGACCTTTTTCAATCTTTGAACGATTGGAACAGCGTGACGTGACTTGTTTTTAAAAGAAAGAAAGAAACTCAAATCGATAGCAATTTACGATTTCTTTATACCTGAGTATTTCTTGCATAATATTTTTAAGTCAGAAAAAATGAGACGACTAACGCTGCAAGTAAATTCCAATTTGTTTAAAGGGAATTGTTAAGGACTCAAGACGTGTTTACGGGTATGTACGTATACATATGTATGCTCTATTAGTTTTACCAGGCCAGAAAAGCGGGCGGATAATTGCAAATTACCTTATTGTATGTGGTCTTCGCCATCTCGACCTCGCCATTCAGTATGAAATAGACGGAGATGGGCATGTCACCCTTCTTGATAACCAATCGCGATTCATTGATGGACATAAACTTCAGGACCGGCACCATGCGTGCCCTGATTTTCTAAGCTCAACATAGGGTACTTGGGTCAATCAGAACAAGGCTTTTCATTCTCCTCTTACCGGTGGAATCCTAGAGAAACAGTTCAGCCCAGCTATCAGAATGCAAAGCTTCTTGCGCTCCTCGATTGTCCTCGAAGTGGGATTGGATCGCAACAGTGCCTTCTCCTGCGGTATTTTGCTCAGTAGTATTATTGCTCAGAATCAAGTAACAGCTCACCGCCAGGGTAATCATGCCGGGCTTTCGCTTCTGGCGCATCAGAGCCACGTTCTTCTTCACGTTCATGGAGATGCCCTGCTCCTCCTCGTCGGAAAGCCACGACTGGTTCATGATCACCGCCCGCACCAGCTTCTTGAAGCGGGCCCGCAGGTCCATCTTGTGCTTGACGATATCCGCATCGCGGGTGCGTTTGGCCGCCATTTGATAAGGTGTGTGTAGGTTTTTTTGTGGTTGTCTTGTATTTCTCCTGCTCCGTGTTTTTTGTCGTCTACGATCTAGGCACCCATTTAGGTGACTTGGTCGAGTGTTTGCTTTTTACAAAGAGTCTGGTGTGTGAGTGACATAAGGCTCCATGAGTTCTTTGACTTAAATATTCCAGAGCCGTAAGAATTTATTGTCAATATTTCAAGTTAATCGGACCTATGACGTCCCATAATTCGGGAAATTTCTGAAAATAACAGTTTGCATATTGTTTTAGCAATGCAATGAGTAAGTTGTAAACGTCTGAGAAATGGGTTATTTTAAACTATCCTTTTTTCGGAATTCGTATTAATTACATCTTTTCTTTTCATCTTTCAGGAAGCGTCAGACATTTGAGTGAAGTGCAGGTCTATAGTAAGACGTTATTAATGAAAAGGCTTTGAGAAAGCGTGCTAGGATTGCCAAATCAAAGAGCATCGACAGATGCACCACCAAACGAAAAAACAACAACCAAACCACTTTGGTACACGTACACCCATTGCCAAATAAAAGCCGACGAAAAAAGACACTTACACACACCTGTACATAATTTAATATTCGGATATGCCTTGTAAATAAAACACAAACAACAAATATTTAGGATCTAGGCAACTACGCTTATTACGTCAACTGGAAACAGGAGAAGGGAACACACCTTTTCGAATTTCACATAAACACAATCCTCATTCTAGTCGAGAAACTTTCACAATTACATATATTCTTCACACGGTGAAACACTAAAACATTAACTAAACAACAATACCAACCTCCCCCACCAACAAAAAAACCAAGCAAAAAAAAATACAAAAAGGAGAAACCCAAAAAAAATATAAAAGGAACAGGAATAAACTTAACGATACCAACAACAAGCCACAGCAACAGCCACAGCCAAGTATTCAAAATTACCATCAATGTGCGGATGATCTGCAAAGAGCATCTCAAGACATAGACGGGCCCAGTGCGAGGAAAGTACCACCAGTCGCAGCTCCAGCTGCGCACCTCCTCTATAACGGCAACCGATCCGGAGACGGACCAGCCGACGTAACAGGACCCGGGGCCGGAGTCTAGATCGATCGTGGACAGAGAGCGAAAGGAAAGGCGACCCAGGGCCACGCCAAGCCAAGATGCATATTGAAATCCAGGTCGCCCTGAACTTCGTCATATCCTATCTCTACAACAAGTTGCCGCGCAGACGCGTGAACATATTTGGCGAGGAGCTGGAGAAGGCGTTGCGGGACAAGTTCCAGGGCCACTGGTACCCGGAGAAGCCCTTCAAGGTGAGCATGCCATGAGCCCCACCACGTCTTCCCATTCACTAGGTCACTAATTTTTCAATGCGTTTCCCTGCAGGGCTCCGCCTACCGATGCCTGAAGACCGGCGATCCCATCGATTCGGTGCTGGAGCGGGCGGCGAGGGAGAGCGGGGTGCCGATCGGGGACATCCTGGAGAACCTGCCAAATGAGCTCTCCGTCTGGGTAGATCCCGGGGAGGTCTCGTTCCGCGTTGGCGAAAAGGGAGCAGTAAAGGTGGGCAAAGGGAACAGTGGCCACTGCCTAGTATTTACTTTGGCCTGGCCTTAATCGCTAATGAAGCTATTGATAAAACTAGAAAAGGTGTAGATTTTCAGTTCAAGTCTAGCTCCAATGCCTATGCAATTAACCAATCGTTTCCACAGTATAGTATATACTGGCGTTATACTACGCCGTATATTCAGTCAGTTCTTAAAACCTTATTTTTGTACATGAACATACAACATTTTTGTGTTATACGTGTCAACAATATTGTGTGCAACGTGAAAGCCTTTTAAACGCAATTTAAATTTAGGAAAGACCAAGTTAAGTCCTATGATATTTACCCCGGACATTATCTGCCAAAAACTTTTTTATTGATATTTTTGAAATAGCATATGTAATGCAAATACTATAACGAAATTACACAAACGCTTAAGAATCTCAATTTATATCCTTGATCAGCTTGCCAGGCGATTCGATATTGAGGGAACTAGTGTCCTGTTTTTTAATTTCTAGCTGGGTAAAGTTCTCACAAAAGTTGCAATTGTGCTTTAGATAGTAATTACATGTCGGTACGATCGACCATCCGTGACTAAAGCTTAAATTAAATCATATGAAGTCAACTTTTATGAACAATTTCCTTTAATAAAAAACTAAAATTAATTGTTTTAACCGCGGGGCTACAGAAATCCCTTCCAGCCAAGCCGTAATCCACTCTGAACGGACTTTCGGATGTAAGAGATTCCTGTAGCACTCCAGGGTATTTGGCCACTCTGCAAAATGTGTTAATTTCTTACGAAGTTACTTAGATCTAATGGGAAATAAAAACTCTTTTCCGACCCCCAGATACTTTACACGGAGAACAATGAGAACCACGAGGACAGCCACTCGGCAGACCGGGAGGTCACCAAAATGTTCAATCCGGAGGCGCAGTGCTTTCGACCCATCGACGCAGTGAACACGACCATGAACAACCTGAGCCTGAGTCCCAAGGCCCTCCCCCTGGCGCTGCCCCAAGCGGGATCGGGATCCTCGCCGCACTCGGCCGCCTCCAGCTCGCCCACCTACAAGGGCAGCCCGAACCCCACGATCTCCGGCAGCTGCAGCTCGGGCTCCGGAGCGGGCTCTGGGTCCGGGTCGAACCTGGGGCCCGGGCCTGGGCCGGGAGCCGCTCCCGTTCCAGTGCCGGGCAACAGTGCCACCGCCAACGCGGCCGCCGGCGCCTTTATGCAGCGCGGCGCCCAAGCTCCATTAACTTTTACAACGGCCACCTTCGCGCAGACTAAGTTCGGTAGCACCAAGCTGAAGACCAGCTCCAAGCGCACCAACAGGTGAGTCCCTTCAGCGGAATATTACATAACAAATACTTCGAGACAACATGCCTTTCATTTATTACATTTAGTATTCATAAGCCAGTCCTGAAAAAGTAAACCAATATCAGTAGGAAAGAAACCTTTAAAAAAATCGATTCAAGTCGATGCGCAATCTAAAAATAATCACTTATACGTACTGTTGCCTCTGTACATGTACATGTACCTTATTTACGAACATACATTGACCCCAAAAAAATAGGTCCCATCTAAAAAACAGTTTTCAATAAGGAATTTTTTTAATTTTAACAAAATTTCACAAGAATAAAAACAAAATAGAAACTTAATAAGACAGCTTTTGATTTGTAAATCATGAATTCTTAATTACGTGCAGTTAAGTTTTGTTGAAATGGACCAAATTTAGAAATATAAATTCACATTTATATCCAATGTCGCTGAGTGTAAGCATAAGCTTTTTGTGATACCTTTGAAGACCAAATACATAATTTTAATGTATATTTTATTATTATTTATATAATCAGAACCATCTACCGAGTCTTTATAGCCATGTCCGTCTGTCCGTCCGTTTCTACGCAAAATAAATCATTCTAGATGAAACTTTCGCAAAAGTCTATTTATTTCATATCGAAACAAAATTGCCATAGACACGATCGGGTCATTTATATGAATATCCGTTTTAAAAATAAGTAAAATGTTGTTTTTTTTTTAAATATAAATAAGAAATTCAGTAAGTATTTCCAAATACTTTCTGGTTTGAATGTAATCGATAGGAACAGGTAGAATAGGAGTATTGACTATGACATTTCTCTTATAACTGCGCATGCATTTAAATTGTGAGCTACTTTGCTTCGATCATACTCTTGCTGGGCTCTAGTAATTATTTCAAACTATCTTCTTAGTAAATGCCCTTATCATAACTACTATTATCTGCGTTTGTTTGATCTCGGCTCTTATCTGTGCATCCCCAGCAGCGCCTACCGCATGTCGCCCACTGAGTTCTCCAACTACATCAAGCAGCGCGCGATGCAGCAGCAGATGCACCACGGCCACGGAGTCGTCCCGTCCGCGGGCTCATCGGTGTCGGCCTTCGGCGGCCTGGACGCCGTCTCGCCCGCCCGCTCCCTCTCGCCGAACCCCATGTCCCTGGGAGGCGGCCAGGCCGCCGGGGCCACCGGGACCGCCGCCGATCCGTTCTACTACCCGAACATGGCGATCGGCCTGTACCCGCCGTTCGGCAATCCGCGGAGCCTCTTCGAGTCGCACTTCAACGCGGACGCCAGCCTGGGGCTCTTCGTCAGCGGCACCGGGAGCGCCACCATAGCCGCCGCCGGAGCCAACAAGTACAGTACTTACCTGGAGCCGTGCTACTTTGGCTCGGGTCACCCCAGTTCCCAGCATACGCAGAGCGGCGGCGGCGAGAGCTGCTTCGGACTGAACGTGGAGTGCGGCGTGGGCCTGGAGGAGTCCTCGCCGCCGGCGGCCGTGGTCGTCGCCGTGGCCATTGCCGGGGACTCCTCGCCGGACAACAGCCCCCTCAGCACTCCCACCGTGGGCGTGGTGCCCCCTCTGCCGGCTGCTGCGGCCACCCCCTCGGCCGCCGTCTCCGCCTCCGCCGCCGTCGCTGCCGCCGCATCCTCCTCCGCCGCCAGTAGCCACCAGCCACAACAGCAGCAGCCAGCAGCCCAGGAGTCGTCCCCGGGGAACAGCAACAGCAACACCAACAGCAACAGCAACACCAACAGTAACACCAACAGCAACAACAACAGCAACAGCAAGCTGATTGACGGCATCAGCTCCTTCTACGGCACTGGATCGTCGTATCAGCAGCTGTTGGTTGCCAACTAGAGTTCCCCCGGAAGCAGCCACCAAGAGAGCATCCACCATAGGCACAGGTACATCCGCAAAGACAATGACCAGGCGACGGCTTCGGGGCGTCGGGAGCAGGAACAGTAGACATGTTCGGGCAGGAGGATTGCGGGGTCCGATCGAGATGTCATGCAGCTTTGGGTTTTTCCTTGCCATTCTGGGGGAGCCTCTGGCTAGAAAACCACAAAATTCAGGAAGCAGCAACAGGAAGGGATACAGAGCAGCGGGGGGAGGAGAGTGGTGATGTGTGATGTGGTCCGAGGAGGAGGGAGCTCACCACAGTCCAGTGCCATTTGGGAAGACAGTGCGGGAGGGGTCCTTGCAAGAAGAACAGCCACTTTGGATGCAAGTCTATAGGATCGATTCGATACGATGTTGGACACCCCAGTCACAGTGTGTGTGTGGGAAGGGAGCTGAATGCAGACGTATATGCGGTGCATATATACGTGGATAGGGTCGAGCACGGTGCAACTTGGCCAGCACTGAGCGAGGGCCTATAAATGTGGATGTGCACTGGTGTATATACTGATGTAGATCGGCCTAACAATACTTATTTCGTTATTAAATTCAGCATAGACGACAGCATGGCAAAGTTTCTCTCTGGTGTCAGAAGCGTGCTTAGAATAAATAACTAAAATCATAGTGTGTACAGACAGAAATAAATGTGCAAGTGTAGCCAAGGGCACACATCGCAAGCGAAGGACAGGAGTCGAGAAACCAATAGCAAACAGAAATAATACCACAAATATATATAAAAAGGACAACTAGAATGTCCCAACTAATTGTTTTTACTTGTTATGCATATGGACATATATATATACATATAAATATATTTAATTATCCAACTTAGGATCAACTTTTACATTAAGTTTTTAATTAGTTGTAAATTTAAGATAAGATCATTTTTGTAGATCAAGTTGCTAAACAAAAACCACATACATATGTTTGTTGATAAAGGACAAGGTCAGCCCTGTTGAGTATAAATAGAGATGCAACTTGCAAACCCCGAGCATCCCGACTTGTGAAGAAAGTTTTTAGCAGTAGAAAGTCCTTCTTCCGATTCTTTGTGTTTTTATAAGTTGTTATTTTTATTTTGTACATATCTTGGAGCGAACTTGCAAACTAAAACCTCAAATATAATCAAAACAAAATACTAAATTTACAAAAAGTGTTTCAGCAGCATCTGTAAATACAATTTAAGTTTAGGTACCGGTAGAATGCAACATTCTTTCTTTATCATTTTATCATAACTCTTCTGGTGAGTAAGTAGTTGATTATCTAAAATTAAAGCTTGGCAAGAGAATACCGAATGATTTCGCTAAATTTGTTTAAAAACTGTCAGAAAAGCAAACAATTTTGATTAGAATTCAATAGCAAAACTGGATTTATAACTCCAAAGCAACTCAAAAGCAATTAATGCGTTTCCTAAAATATGTTGCTTTAAATGTATATTTATTAGAATAGGCGTTTAATATGTTTTTTAAAATTTTTAAAACCCCATCCAGACTTTAAAAAACACAGCAATTGTTTTCGGGTTGCTTTTTGGTAGCTTTAAATTAGTGACATCCAAACCCGTGATAGACTTTAAAAATTTTGAGAGACGATCAATAACGCATGGCAGACAGTGAAGCCCTGCTCTTGAAAGTGACTTTCCCTCGCCCAAATGCACCAGGATTTAAAGGCCAAATAGATGGTGAAATATTATCTCCACACTCGTAATCAAAACGTAATGTTTCAAAAATCAAAGACTTGGAAAAAGGACTTTTTAGTTTCTCAGTTTAGTTAAATAGCGTATAAAATGTGAATTTGTCAAAACACTTTCTAAGGAAAAGAAGTCAAAAAACTCGAGAATCTTAAAGGTACCATATTTTTTCTTAATGCATATGAGGCAAAAACCTCTAGGTCTTTAGTTATCCCTAGTTTCGCTTTGCCCAAAACTTTCTTTGATCAATCATTCGACTATTGGCAAGAACTCATGTACCAGTTAAATTGAAATAGGTATTCGGAATCCAACTAGTTATGATTTAATTGACTGTGCCAAGGTCGTGGGTCACTGCTAGTTTCTTTACCCCTAGATACAAGTTATGCAAGCTGTGGAAAGCTTTTGAGTAACTAAACACTAAAAAAATAATAAAATTGAAGAAAATTTATATTTTCGTTGTGTGTTATATTGTATGTATTACCATTTGACTTCGTATTTTTTTGTATATATATATCTATTTTTATATGAACATTTGTAATTTTTATAAATCGAGTACAGTAAAAACATTTTATACTTTTTATATGGGCTTACGTGAAAATACCTTGCGCTATATGAATGCTTACTTTAATTAAAAAAGAAAATGAAACACTAGAAACCAAGAGAGCATTTTTGTTTAATTTATACGAGTCCCCGATGAAACATAACCAGTTAATGTAAATATGTCATTTCCTTTGTCCCAGATTAAAGGCAAACACTTCTCAATATATGTTGTTTAATGGAAGTATGGTGGATTTAGGGGAAAACATACTTATAAGATAAGAAAATGGACGAAGCAACGGAATTCACTCTCTATTTGTCTTGTTAAGGAACATTTGTAATTTATGCAATCGTTTTTTTATTGCCTAGTCGAAAAATTAAATAATGTGGGAAATTCAAAGAAAGAGATGATTTTCAGCTTTTTGAAAAATGTATTCGAATATGTACCTACACATCCAACAGATGTGTGTATCTAAACCTACCACTGAAAACAGAAATTTAATGAAACATTTAAGTACCTTAACGAAGCTTCTAATTACAGCTACTGTGACCACGAACAAGAGTCGAATCAAGCCAAGCCAAAATAATTTTATCTCAATCGCACCTCCTCTTCCAAAGAAAAGGGTGCGACTTACGGATTACGGATCGCATTGGGCCTAGCTTTTGTATCTGATCATAGTAGCGCATAAGTACCTACAGACATACACACATACAGCAGACACCATTTGACATGCACACATTAAGTATTAGGCACTTTTTTTCTTAGATATATTAGAGCGTATTTAAATTACAGAAATTAAACAGAAACATAAACAGAAACAGAAATTTTGTACTTTTATATATATGATGAATATATATATATTCGTATACAAGTATACATATGAATGCCTCTAATGGTTCAACTCAACGGATTCTCAATGTATTTTTTGTATGTCTCAGAATAGCAGGCATGAAAATGAAAATGAAATGAAAATGAACACGAAACCAAGCAACAAACTTATATGCATAATGTTAGAAATTGTCTCACATGCCATATTCTATAAGTAAGCATATGGCACAAGTATAAGCCCCAAAGTGTATGCGTCTGCCAACCTATGTATCTTTACCTGAATCAAGGAGGGAAACGGAGAGATCGGATGGGAGGTGTTGTAGGAGAATACTGATTGCTTGCCTATGACCTATTCTATTGTGATTGTGATAACAATGTAAGGCACCGATACAGATACAGATTACAGATACAGATACAGATGCAGTACGGATAGGGTACGGAAACCGATGCAGAAACGGCAAAATAGTCATTGTCTATGTACAGAAGTGGGAAATTCAAATAAAGTATCCGCCTATCATCGATGTCCACCAACTTTAAATTTTAACTCGATCGAGATGAAAATGTATCCGACCGATCTAATAAGCAAAACGAACCATTATGGTAGATACACAAATATACAAACATATTTTACAATATGCAGTAAATAAACCACACCAACCAACATTTTAATACACACTTAAATCGCTGGTCCGAAAGAGATCAAGCCGATGTAGAAACAACTCACTAACTAAAGTAAAGAGCGACATTGGTATGTATTTAGCTACAAAGAGGACAACAAAAATATAAATAATAATACAGCTTTTTATACCTCAGATATGTTTCTATATGTATGTAAATGTACGAAGAGATATCTCACGCAATGCAAAGTAACAAGAAAACCAAATTCGAGTACGTTAAGCCCACTTGTCGTCGATAAGGTTCATAAGTACAGATATTTTGATAGGTAGTTAGATGAACAACTCATTTACGAATGTAACTTTTATATATTTTTTTAGGTAACTTGTTTAACTGATACGCGATTTCCAACATAAATCTAAATGTGCATTACCAACCACCAAGCGTGGCCCAGACTCTTAAATAGTATTTCCATAACTTGGTTAGTGGACAGCTCTGGATGTTAGCAAGAAAACATAGCATACATATATGTATAAAAAATTTATATATATGTCGTAATACAACTGAAAAAGAATCACCATATAAGCAACTGTACTTTGTATCATAAGTGTTATATTCTTTCCCAGTTATCGGGCTTACAACAAATTTATAAGATACAAGATATTTTCTCATGCGTGTCTAGATTTAACATATGTATATACATGTATGTCTTTATATTCCTAATTAACACCAAAAATGGATATGACAATTTATGTGATCTGAGTTCTACAGTTATGTATATGTATGTATCTTCTGTTAAATAAGGCATATGTACATATGTATGTATATAAAAACAACGTGAAATATAAGTGAAGGCTGAAGAGGCATAAAATTACTGCATATGTATGTACATACGTGTTGAATTTTAATCTTAAATTGAAATAAGTTATGTTACCGATCGATATATGTATGTATGTATGGCATTCATTTACCAGAAAATCAGATAGAGAAAGTAATTAAATTAATGCATATCAGTGATTACAATAACGATGTACATACATGCAAAACAATAAAAAATAATGTATATGTGTGACCACACTAACACACAATAAACGTGTATGTATATCTATTCTTAGTCCCAAAATATTCAATCAATTTAAAACCCTTTACGTGTGGACATAAGAATAGAGGTAAATATTATAAAATGTATGTACTATGTATAGTAACAAATATAACTTCCATATGAGTATTTTTCGTATTACCTTTAGTAGAATAAAGATTATCGTATGATTAAAACACATTGTTTAAACAAATAGTCAGTGATCTGTAAGAATCTGCTCCGATCGCCGATTCACCTCTTTAAGACAATTGGATATTGATAAAAAAGTTCGATGTTTTCTCCGCACTGTTGCATAAGTATTCAGCATTCTGAGAACAGATGTCCTTTAACGAGATTAGTATTCACAGCAAATGAAAGCTCAAAAATAGTACGTAGGTGCGTACCAAGGTAAAATAACTGACTTCTTTTTACCTTACCTATGTAAAAAAATAAACGAATACATTTTACCTTCCCCAGGCACGGATTTTGATTTAAACTGCGAATATGCTGCACGAGGTACTTGGGTATAGGAAAATTCTAAGCCTAACTATTTTTAAATATGTTAGACCAATATTAATATGTGGTTTTGTTATAAAAAAAAAACACATTGACGCTTTAGAAAACTAGTGACAATCGTACATTTATCACCATATAACGTCAGATATTAACTTTTTGTTTGGAAAAAGTATTATGTTTACACGTAAACAAGTGCAATACATTCAAAATAAATGTGTCAGAATAATTTGTTTTCAAGAAATTATGATTGGCCAGGAAACGATTAGAAATTAGTTAACATTCACCTACAGTCCTGGACAGATAAATTAAAACACGAATTTTACGTAATATTAAGAAGAAAAGTTTACTTTGTTTCGTTGGTGCATTATAATCTGAAGTCCATTGCCTTGATTATTTCGTCTTGTTAGAAAACAAATATTTCTCTCTTGACAATTTTCGAAAAACCAAAATCTATCCATTTTCACTTTAAAACAGAAAACAGAAAATGCACCCCAACACCCAACCCATGTAGCTGCAGTAGTATGGAAAATGATGTATTTTCTGTTAGCAGTTATAAGTGATATCACTGGTAAATCTGTAGTACTGTAAGTAATAACTTATCACTTATCACAAACTGTGTGAACTTTTTGGAATATTCAGTCACAACATTGTCGGCTTCTAAAGGGGCGACGATCACGCACAGATCTTGTGTATTCGTAAAATAAACAAGAAGATATTTTGGCAGCGGAACAACTTTAATCTTTCCAGGATGACTGAATTTTTAAGAGTTCATTAGAACTGAGAGTGCTACGGTCTTACCGTTTCGTTGACAAAGCTTAAATAAATTTAAACAAGAAAGAAAAGCTAACTTCGGGCGGAGCCGAAGATTATATACCCTTGCAGAATATTCTGTAAATTATATTCTCCAAAACTATTCATCAAAAATCCCAACTTCCTAACTTTAAAAACACCAAAGTTATGGCATTTCCAATCGTTCAGTTATATGGCGGCTATAGGATATAGTCGGCCGATCCTTATGAAATTTAGGTCGGTCGGATTGATTGGCCAAATATAAAACCCATAGAAAATCCCATCCTTCTAACTTTACAAACACCAAAGTTATGGCATTTCCGATCAATCAGTTAAATGGCAGCTATAGGATAGTCGGCCGATCCCGGCCGTTCCGACATATATACTGCGTGCAAAGGTAAGAAGGGTGTGTGCAAGTTTCAATTCGATAGCTTTAAAACTGAGAGACTAGTTTGCGTAGAAACAGACAGACGGACAGACGGACATGGCTATATCAACTCAGGAGGTGATCCTGATCAAGAATATATATACTTTATAGGGTCGAAGATGTCTCCTTCACTGCGTTGCACACTTTTGACCAAAATTATAATACCCTCTGCAAGGGTATAAAAATGCTTTAAACCTTTTCCCCGCCAAAAGGGTATTGCACACTTTTCGGCGCATTTTAATTTTCAGGCATTTTTTAGTCAACAGATTTAGTATAAAATTATGATACCGTTTAATTTTTTGTAGCATTTTTGTAATATATTGATGATTTTTCGTAAAAGTATTCGTGTACAAGTATTTTGCTTACTGTAACTCAAAATAACTAGAAGTAAATTAATTTTTGTTTTTGGTTCACTCAACATGTGTTTATAATTCTCAAATGATTCTGAATATAAAACAGGCATGAAGTTTTATATTTTATCTCGATTTTTGGTTAACCAATTTCTGACATCAAGGACTCATTTTACTGGAAAAAAACTTTCTTGAACTTGCTCTTACACGTTAAAGATATTGATCCCAACAATCGATGTCGACTATGCTATTGCCGGATGTTAGCGGAGAAAACAGGAGATTTTTTCTGCTTAAAAAATCCCTGTAAAATTATTAAATAACTTCCACGAGTATTTTAAGCTTTTAATCTCTTAGTTAAAACTATATCTTACGATGTGACCACCACAGCAGAATTTCAATGTCAATCGCTTCGTCACTAGCAGGTGTAAAATTTGAATTTACATGTCGGTCATCATAAGCGTGGTGGCTTGGAAGGTAACACTCCACAAGGCCGTAATTCTTACAAAGTTTTTTTTTTAAACATACTTTCAAAGTTCTAATAAGCTTATAGCCATTAATTATTTCGTGGTATTTAATAAATTAACATATGGGAAAAGTTTTTGTGGAACAGTCAGCATAGCATTGATGTCAGATGTTTCTGGATGATTGATGGTGGCTCGGTGGAAACAGGAGTTTAATATCTGCCAGACATCCCCTTTTTCCTGGAACTGCATTTATATAAACTTCGAATTACCGATATGTCGAAGTTTTAAAAGAAAGAGCTACATAGCTTGTTTTCAGTAATTTTTTTATAAACGGTTTACTCTTTTAAACTGTTATAAAAATAATTTTTCCTCATTTTTTTATTTCGTGCTATGGCAAAGTGGTTCAAAGCTTATCTGAACTTTTAAAAATGGCTTTCATCTATTCGGTATACAGATTGCTGCCTTGGGGAGCGTTAGCCTCCCAAAACCCTAGTTCTCTTTCCTCTACGCTTCTGGTTAACAGGAATTAAAATGGCTGATATGTTAGGGGTGGCACTGAAAAACCATGGGCTAAATATCGATCAAAAAAGTGAGGCTAGAAAGATTAGTCAACCATCTGAAAACTTTTTGGCAGGGCAAAACGTTATGGGACCATACAGAAAATGGGAATAGGACTTAAGATAAAAATTGGTTCAATTTAAAATCCAAATTTTAAGCAGCAAAAAATAACGCGCTATGCTTGGAGCACTGGGATACCATTAAAAAATAAATATATAATACATATTAGGTGATGTTATGTTTCTCTACTTAGTGCTATTAAAATTTTTTCAGAATTGCACACAACCGTGACCTTATGTATAGAAAAAGCGGTGAGTCCATGCTCATCACTGTAATGTCAAAAAAATATTATTCCACCATTGCTATTAGAGTGCTAAAGAATATTCCAATTTAAATTGATTTAGATTTTAAACAATCAGTATTCTTTAGTTTCTTCAGGTGATCGCATTATGTACTTTGCATCGACTACTTTAAGCGGCTGCGTGCAGAGACTAAAGGGAATACCCCAATCGATTTTCGATGTATCGAAAACATTTTAGACTTCAATGAATCGATTTCAGATCAGCTGAGCCATATCGTGTACTAAAATCTCGACAGTAACGTATACTCGATATATCGATACTATCGTGAGTGGTTAACTTATAGGCCGCATTATTTTGTTTTCTTTCAACTTTAACATTTCATTTCAATATTATTTTGTTTTTCAATAGTCCGGCAATAAGAAATAAAGTGAGTGCAAATGTGGATTATGCGTATTTTGCATTTCAATCGTGGGGATGGCAGTCACTTTGAAACGGGGTGGGGACTGGACAGAGCTAAATGACAACCCTCTATTCTATTATCAATGCTAACGACAATACCGGCGCACTTGTTAAAATGACTCTGACTTCACCTTGACTAAAGTACACTGCAATGGGGGACGGAAACTGGGAATGATAACAGTAACATCAGCAACAGTCACTGATTTCTTCCAGTTTTTACCTCGAAATCGCCGCCTGCTTAGCATATCACTGAATTCGGCAGATCCTACGTACATCGAAAATGTTGAAGCTACGTAACCTCTTGGCCGTCGGCAAAAGCAACAACAACGCTGTCCGGTAAGACAAACAACATGCATATAGCAAATACAAAACGCCCGCAGCTGTGTTTATGTACATATTCACCAGTGTTGAGGAGTACCTAGATATATGTACCTAGAAAAGTACCTTTGAAAATGGTTGGTGCTCCTTACCTAGGTATTTACTTTGAGTTTAAACTGAAACAGGCATTTGATATTAAATACTATACATTTTTTAATAATGGTTAATATATCAGAAATAAAATATACAAATACCGATTTACTTATTAATTGGTTATTTAAGCTAAAAAGATAAAAATGTAGTAGACATCGAAACGCCCAAGAATGACGGTATTTATTTCAAATTCTTTTTTATTATATATATTATTAATAAAAAACAGTTTAATTTGTGTCCTTCGTATTGTCCTTACCATTCATTTTTGCCAATAGCTTATACCTTGCCTAGGTACAAAAAGGAAGTATCTTTCCCAACACTGGTACTTATACACCTATTACTATGTATGCTAATTTCCAAAATGCCTATTTATATGTATGTATATGAAAATTCCGCAGGGTTTGTTTCAGCTGACGTTCTTGGACGGTTGTCGCGACGTCAGCAAAACGTACATATGCAAAATGAAATGCACATAAATATACTTTCAATAATTACACTGAGAATGAAAATCGAACTTTTTTTAAATTTCCACGATCAATTTTCCATTATATTTGAGTGCTCCTGGGTCAAAGTCTCATACAAAAATATTTTCCGTCGCTATCAGGTGCCGCAGTATAGCTAAGAATACGAAATTCCGATGCTTGCGACATTTTTAATTATGTGATCCATATACATACATACATACATATGTACATAAATGGAATTAGCATGAGGCTAACTCAAAACACCCACCACTGCATTTTTTATAAGTTAAAGGGCTATACAAAATGTATCTAATTGGTACATGTTAGGTAATTAAATGCCCTCTGTATTCTTAAATTTAAAGGATATTTTTGTTAAAACTCTAATAGCAATAGAATCACCACATTTTGCTATTATTTCCTGTTATATTTCTCCCATTTATAAAAGGTCATGACAATATGTTTACAAATTTATTTTTTGATTCATATTTTAAATAATAATACTTAAATAAGTTAATACTCAATACTTACCAAAGATGACTTTTTGTGTTTAATGCAATAACGGGTAGTCAAAAATATAAACCTAGGGTAAATTAAAAGAATACAGAACACAAAAAATTTCTTCAAAAATTGAAAGAAATTTCCATTTAAGAATAATTTTTTGAAGACATTTAACTCCGCAAACCTAGACAAAAGTTCAAACCGGGTACAATTTTTAAGCAAAAAAAAAAAATTATTTTGAATGAATAAAAGACATATTGAGAGTAAATTTCTCACTCTGGTAAACAAATCTAATGTCTTTTCAGAGATACTAAAAATACCTTGTTCAGCGGCAAGCAAAAATAATTCAGATTTCCAACAGAAATTGCATAATTTATTGTAAAATAGTTATATAGTTATCCCCATTTTCCAATTATTGAGTTAGATAAAGCGTAGTTTGATAAGCTACCTCCACACAAAGACATTTATATCTTCGATCTGAATGGGACAATAATTAAAAACGTTATCTATAAAAGAAAGACCGAGCTGGTCGTATGTCGGATTTAAATAATATTAAATATACTTTTAAAGTATTTTCATACACCTACGTATCCCAAAAAGATGTGCTTTTTGGAAGTTGCTTAACTTTATAAAAATAAGAATACCTGAAAAAATTCAAGAATATAAAAATAACTAATTCCTCAATACTTCCAGCGCCCTGTCCACCACTGGGACATGCAACGATTCAGAATCATGGATCTCAAAGCTGCTCGTTCGGAAAATAGAGCCAACCAAGGAGTCGCACAGTCGAATGCTGAGCGACAAGGAAATCATATATGCCTTACATACGCACAACGTCAGGCCCGATTCGATGAGCAACTATTTAAATAATTAGTGAGTGTCGATCCAGAAAGCATAAAAGTATAAAAGAAATATCAAATGCGAATTCGCGGCTTAATGCAACAGTGGTTGTAAGGACTCTTGCATACAAATTTAAAAATAAAATGTGTATGAACATGGGGTTAAAAGTCAATATACATCTTCATTCTTTCAAAAAATGCTAAAGGCGGCATAATTTAAATCAAGTTGTCTATGCTATACCATTTTAGGCGCGTATCTAGATAAGGGGCATCGACAAAACTTAAAGAAATAACTCTACCTTATTTATCCCATAGCAAAACTACTGTGGCTTTGATTAATGAGAAAAAGGCAAACCTCTCGTGCGACTTGGTGGCATCATGGACCGTGCAGGTGGGGGACATGGACCAATGCTTACACCTTTGGAAGTACACAGGAGGCTTTGAGAAAATAGACCAGGCCAAAGAAGACCTTTGGAACGATCCAGAGTACCTCAGCTTGATGCAGGAGCGTTCGAAGTTTTTGCGCTCCCGACATCTGCAATATCTCTTGGCTTTCAGCTACTGGCCGCAGATTGCCAGTCGTACCGGCAAGAACATTTACGAAATGCGGTAAGAGATGAGTATTCTGTGTGGAAATGTATCGCTTCATGTGTTACTTCGTGTCCTTAGCTCATACCGACTGACCCCTGGCACCATGATTGAGTGGGGAAACAACTGGGCCCGTGCCATTAACTATCGCAAGCACAACAACGAAGCTTTTGCCGGATTCTTTTCGCAGATCGGAAGACTGTACAACGTTCATCACATTTGGTGTAAGTAAACATTACCGTTTGTTGGTTAACGTATATTTACCTAATGTGTTCATCGTACAACAGGTTACAAATCTCTGCAAGACCGCAAGGAGACTAGGGAAGCAGCTTGGCGATCCCCCGGCTGGGATGAGTGTGTGGCCTACACGGTACCATTAATCCGCGACATGCACTGTCGCGTCCTTGCGCCAACCGAGTTCTCGCCCTCACAATAATAAGTGGGCAGCTCATTTTTCGCGATCTGAAGCTTACCAACGGCTTGATCGAATTCGCTGTGAAACACCGAGAACATAACTTCGCCTCTTTTCCTGTTGAATAGTTATTGTAAATAATGCCAGCTATATATGCAATCATTTAATTTTTTTTTTAGTATAATTAAGGTCAAAGTGGAAAATTGTTCCCTCATTTTTACAAGTCTCTATGTGTGTATCACCTACGACCTTTGAATTTAACAAAATCAATTTTGTTTTTAAAAAATAAAGCAATTATGAAACTATTGTATTATTGTTTTTCAAAGATATCGCTGCAAGTAAGTGTAATTATGAATACTCATTTGATAAATACGTAAAGTACTTTTGTCTCGAAGCTTAAACTAACGTTCTTTATGAAAATCGATAAACGACCTATGCAAATTTTTCATTCCGATGGGTGGTACTTCTAACCTTGATTGTACCTTAGTTGTTTCGGTTTGATTTTTACCTGAAGTTTATCATGTAAAAACACATGAAGCGCCCATACCCAAAAATTCAGACAACAAAATAGGTGATGAAAAAGTAGTATACCGCATAAGGTTTTATTCAGATTGTTGTTTTGTTGAAAAATCTTCCTATCCTGTGAATAAGTGGTATTAAATAAAAATAACGTATGATACATACAATTTACCTAGAACATTAAACAAAACAAACAATTATACAGATATGCAGATTTCCACCTATTTTAAATCGTCGCAGAAAGTTAACATAAACATTTTTTTTCTAAACTCTTTAAGAGGTATCATAAAAAACTTACGAGTTGTCAACATCATTAATAAATCAATTTGAAATAATTTAAGCTGTGGGTTTTTCGTAATAATCTGGAATATTATTGTTTCCGGACTTTAGCTTTATATTTAGCAAGTAATGATTTTCCATTTGATTTTCAAGAATATTTTTTTAAAAAAAAGTTTAAGTCTTCATTACTTATACACCATAGGCACTATAACATAAATATGTAATGAAATCATCCTCTGATTCTCAATTTTAGAACTAAAACATTTGTTTAGAACCAGCCAATCTCTTTTATCCTTAATATTATTGGTTAATTGTTTGTGAAAATCGAATGGCTTCAGTTTCTGATGCCGACCACAGTAAATGCCTCAGAATTCTCGACTTTCTGTTTCCAGGAAATTGAGTACGAAAAGGAGTCCAAGGAGAAGTCCCAACGGCACAAGATAACATACTTCGGGCCTTGATGCTAGATTGTGCTGGACAGCCGCGGGTAGTTCCCCTTTAAATACAGGGTATCGATGAATTAAAGTAATTTATATTTATGAATCGACATTTACCTGTGAGCACTTGTACTTGGACAATCACGGTAAACAGTCTGCCGAGAGAACAGGAATAGTTTCCACTATCCGAGAGTTTTGCATCGCCAATGGAAATACGGCTGGTAAGCCATACATCGGAAACACTAAAAATGTTAGAAAAATTACTTTTAATTTTTGTTTTATAAGAGTAAAAATTCGGTTATTTTTCGAAAACGTTGAATGCGTTAGTAAACAAATAATTTATAAACCGTACGATGCAAAACAATTCCAATTTGTTTTAACTGGTGAAGTATGATTTTAATTTAAGTTACAGTTAATGGCTTTTAATACTCAGAAAAATACCAAAAACATTTCTAGTTTTTACTTCCGAAGAATCCTCATGGATTCAAATAACCTCTGTTCTCTTTAAAAAAACCTCGAAAAACTTTTCCCCTGATTCGGCACCAACGAAATCAATTGTTTTAAAATACTTCTCTATATTTTAATATGCAAATGGTATTAAAATAAAAGTGGATCTGATTGAATTAGCCCAGAATAACTGGGACTTATTAGTCTTTATTGGTTTTCATGTACGGCCAAAAATTTCTGAAAACGATATTTTGGTAAATAACCGCTTAAATAAATGTAAGGAAATTTATGAAACCTAATTGCCATTTTCAAAAAATTAACTATTTGTATTCATGGGCGCTAATGCTTATTGCCTTGATTTAATGCATTGAATGTTTACACTACTAATGTGTTTAGGTAAACATGTGTGGTGGAAAGCTGTGGGTAGTTCACCGATTAATCCGAACAAAATCGGGTCAAATTTGATCAGTCGACCAAAACTTATCTATTAATTAAAATTTAAAAGATGAACACGAAGAATTTGACGCAATGACTTGCTTGATTTTGAACTCAAAAGACAACCAGTGGTTGTTGGTGGGTTCTTTGGTGAGTTGGTCTGCAAGGAACATTCTATTTTATTGAGGTTATCAGATTAGTATAAGCTATTAAAGGAAGATCGCACCATAACAGATCCGAACTCGCAGGAAGTAAGCGGATTGCGAATCAGATAAGAAAAGTGTTTGGAGGGCCATTAAAGATTATATCCATTTTTCTATTGATGTTTTGTTTGACAGCTATATTACATAGTCGTCTGCTTATAATAAAATAAAAAGCATATCAAAGTTTAAAAGCTTTCGTCTGTCCCACATAAACCTGAAATAGAAATAAGACTTTTAATAAAGTTTCATCCAAAAGTCATTCAAACTGAGAGACTGGTTCACATAGAAACGGACAGTCAGACGGATGATGATACTGGCAGGGTATACAAATTCGACAATACAAAAGGAACATTTAGTTCTGTTAGAGGAATATCCTTTCAATGGTAATAAATCCCTGAAATATGGAACAGGCCTGTATATAAATGTTTGCCTGGTGAACATTATATAAAGGAGGTAGTAAAAAATGCCAAAAATGTCTACAATCGGCTTAAAGTATGAGTTTCTTAAACTACCTATATTTTTTGTGAGTACCTTAAGCGCTTATTGGTCATTCCTTGGAGTGGTTCTTCGTCTTTTGCCCAGGTTATAAACTTGGTAAAGTATTTTTCCAGATCCTGTCCAGAGAATTTAACTTGGGTCTGACTTGTGTTCCCGAATAAATTAAGCTCACTGGTCGTATCATTAAATGGTTTTTGTACAGCATCAACAGAATCGGTTGACTTCAGAATGGAATGGCGTTCTTTCTGGAAAAAGCTGCGTGATATTTGGCATTGGAGATCGACGGTGCTTCCTGACTTATAATAGCGGTCCCCTACATCCCTCTCGTGCTCATCAATTATTCTTAGGGGGGGTTCTGAAAATCCAAAAGTCATCAAAGGTTGTTAGTCGTAATGCCCCTAAAAGCAATTCAAAACCTACCCAAGATAGTGAGATTTGTAGTGAATACTCGGGGTGGATGGGTGGAAACCTGGCACATGTAAACTCCGGCATCTTCAGTCTGTGTTGGATTGATGAGTAACCGCCAATTATTCGGGTACTGGAACTTCACCCGAATCCTCGGGTCTCCACTGTAGGTGACGTTACCAACAGTCAGAAGGGACACCTTTTCCGCCGTTCGTCTGACCCACATGACCTGAAAGTAGGGCGAAGAAAATAGAAATATAAAAGTGTTTTCGATTGAATAACTTGATGTTGACATGGTCGTTAGTTTGTATATTGAAAACTATAATTCCCCCAGATTATTGTATGTTTATACCCTTGCAGAGGGTATTATAATTTCAGTCAAATGTTTGCAACGCAGTGAAGGAGACATTTCGGGCCCTATAAACTATAAATATTCTTGATCAGCATCACCAGGAAAGTCGATCTAGCGATGTCTGTTTCTACACAAACTAGTTTCTCAATTTGGAAGCTATCTTGATAAAACTGTCTTATATTATAACTTATAGCTTTGATGTTTTTAAACATATTCGGATATACTTCAAAATACAGTAGCTTTTTACAGTTTCAGAATTTTTAGCTTTAAGGGTGCTCCCTTTCTATACATGGTTAAGGAATGTCATTATATGGTTGTAGCTTGTTTTGGGACATAACCATAGATGCATTCCAAATGCTTATTAAGGAAAGTACAAACAGAAGAGAAACCCGAACGTTTCTGAAAGAAACTCATAATTGTTCGTCAAATCGATACCGGGAACGTCTACTTATGTACACTTGCAAACTGTCTGGCAGGACATATTACCACATATTGACGTCACCCGGCAGACGTATGGACTCTCGGCCGTGACAAACACAGGCGTCTCCTATAACCACACATCCTGATTAACTCACTATGGGTGGCTGATCTGATTGGACCAAAAATGAAGCACCCACTACCCTCTTTTTTGGGATCTTTAGAATTCCTTTGACAATACACGAAAAAAGATAAAATCATATTTCCTTTATTAAAAAGAAGAGGCGTGTTTACTTATCGTCAAGCCATACCGTGTGGATAAATAACGTAAGTAAATTAATTAATTATCGCAAATCTAAGTTGTTTTCGATTTGTCAGTCAGTTAGCTATTTCCGCAACAGCGGGAGTCTATTAGAGCACTCAACAACAATATTTCCGCTGATGCGATTTTCAGCGACTGTTTGTAAAGGGTGTAAGTGATGTTGTTCTTTTAATTAACTACAATTGACTTAGGCATTAATATATAACTATTGTGTATAATGCTATTTTATGCAATAACTTCGGGAAATACATAGAGAAAACTGTGTGCATAACAACATTTAATGAATCACTTGAAAATATATACGAAATATTTGTATTGTTTTCGCTGTGCTAAAACTTTATTACATAATTTATAATATTTTGTGATCTGTTAATGTTTAATCCTTAGTTACTTTTATTTCGAAATCGAATTGTTTTTCTAACGCAAAATTCTATTTATCCAATGGGCAAAAGCACGATTGATTTTTTCAAAAGCGATAATGATTTGTAATTTGTTTTTTATGTAGATACCAAAAACAAGAGTCCAAAGTTTATAAATTTGTGCATGTATGCACACAAGTTGCAAACTCTCTTTGATATTAAACACAACCAGAAAAAAACAAACTTCAACAATCCGAAGTTCATATACCCTTGACATGTTTCAAAAATTTAATATTTTATATTTCGATTTCCATGCTTTAAAACAATTTTCGAATCAATTTTTCGATCGTTCCTCTATCACCTAAATGTCTTTCAATTTTAAAAAACTAAAACCGTATATCTGAAATTGCTAAAAAAAAATTGACCGGTATTTTCCGACTTATACTTACTACCAGCAACAGAATTTAAAAAATTTCATTATTATAACTTTAACAAGAGAGAACGCTATAGTCGGGTGCCCCGACTATCAGATACCCGTTACTCAGGTAAAGGGAGTGCGAGGGAGATGGAGATAGAAACTTTGATCACGCATAACTTTTTAACGAATGGTCCGATTTGAAAAATTTCTTCTACATTTCGATAGGTATTGATAAACATAATAAAGCTGCATTTTTACTTTTCCGAAATATTTAAATTTTTAAAATCGTATATAAGCGATTGTGGGCGTTAAAGGGGGCGTGGCACCTTTTTGAAACAAACTTGCGCTGCGTAGGAACTCCTAGAATCTGCATGCAAAATGCCAATCTTCTAGCTTTTATAGTTTCCGAGATCTCAGCGTTCATACGGACAGACAGACAGACGGACAGACAGACGGACAGACGGACAGACGGACAGACGGACAGACGGACATGGCTATATCGACTCGGCTAGTGACCCTGATCAAGAATATATATACTTTATAGGGTCGGAAACGCTTCCTTCTAGCTGTTACATACTTTTGCACGAATACAATATACCCTTTTACTCTACGAGTAACGGGTATAAAAAGGACAGACGGACAGATATGGATTGATCGACTCACATAGTTGTGCTGATCAAAAATATATATACTTTATATATATATACTTTAAGTGGTCGGAAATGTGCCTTTCACTGCGTTGCAAACTTTTGCCTGAAATTACAATACCCTTGAAAGGGCATTAAAACAAAAATAGACACATGTTTACATTGCGTAATCTGGGGAATTACTTTTAATCCTGCCCTACGAAACACAACTATTTGAAAGTTTAATACATGTTTCGATAGAACAATGAATTTCAACAAGAATAAAAATTAAAAATAATTTAGGTAATCTAAACTATAGTATACATACTTTGATGAATATTTTGCATAATTAAACCAGATAAATGCGAAATATTTTTCGACAGGCAGACAATCAAGAAGAAAAGAAAGGAAAATGTAACTAAACAATTCGGCTTTATGCTCAGAAAAACGTACATTCCACCCAATGTGCAGTGTAATGAACGCCAAACTTTTTGGAGAATGTTGCAAAGGTGACTGACATAAAACTGCTTGTAGCAAGAGTAGTAAAAAGTGAAACATACTTCGTCCTTGGAGCACAACACACTAATTTGTTTTATTTTCATCTTTGTTCCGCTAACATAGTTTAATTCCTTGACCTTTTAAATAAAGGGATGAATATCGTGATTGAATTTAAGTTGCGAACTCTTCACTCACTCCCACAAGTGAATTTAAATCCCCTAAGCCCCTTTATTCAAGAAAAGACAATAGAAAAACACTACATACAATAGCTGCGGCAATCAAACACAATCAATCATTTTATGGACCAAAATAAGCTGCTCTTGACTCTCTTATTCAAGTGGAATCAAAGTGTTGACAAAGTCAGGCAAGGGAGAAGGATATTTTTAGGAAACAAATGCTAACTGGCTTGTATGTTTTATGAGTAAACGTTAAAATGAATATGTCTGGTTTTCAAACCAGCAAAGCCAGCCATTTCAGACGATGAGTAGGATGATAACATCGCTATCTAGATTAGATTACAGAAGTACTATCCTATATAAAGTGTTTCAAAAGGGAGCTCACTTACTGTCTTGTCCTTGAGCATACCAACTCGGCAGTTGAGCACTGCTTCCGTGAACAAATGCACTGCGGACACGAGGTTGTCGCCCGAGGTGGCCGAGTTGAGGGGCTCCTCGAAGAAGGGTCCCCAGTGGTGCTCGTGGTGGTGCTTGCTCCGCGGTCGTTCTGTAACACGGTAGAATCCTGTCAGAATTAACAAAAGAAGGGTTTTCAAAATATGTCACGGCGTTTTTGGTTGGCTTTTCCTCGGGTCTTACCACTCGCTGTCCAATGATTTCTCGTGCGCGTGGAGTCTATGGACTGCTTTACGGTACTGCGGTCGACCTTCGGGGATGCGAATGCCGTGGTGGGCATGGTCACTGTCGGAAGCTGATCAGTGCTCCCCACGCGCCCAATAATGTCAACTAGTTTTTTGATTGGAGGGCTACTGCTAATCTCAATGCCCACTGGTATTTCCATGGGTGTCTTGTCACGGCTCCTTTTCGTTGGGAATGCACTGAGGGACGAGTTCGAGTTCGAGTTCGACGCTTCTATTGGCATTTGGGACTGGTCTTGGTCCTGCGACGAAAACGAGTATAGGGTTGCCCTCGTGGCTGTCAGGTAACCAGCAGTTGATAGCGTCGTCTTAGTTTTATTATAGTCATCAAAAGGTAAAGTACGGTTCTCGCTGATTCCGGGATGTGTACTGCCCGAGGTTGCTTTTTGTTCGACGGATTCCGTGCCTGTGGAGGTTAGGGGTTAATAATACAACAACCGAGGGTACTTAGAAGATGCTCCTTAATTGTGCACATTAATACAACATCTGGGATTAACTTCCGCTTATAAATTCTTATAAATCGGAAATAGCCGTAAAATCTTAGTTTTTATACCCTTGCTGAGAGTGTAGTTTTAGTCAAAAGTTTTCAACGCAGTGAGAGAGACATTAACGACCCTACAAAATAAAGCTATTATTAATCAGTATCACCAGGAGAGTCTATGTAGCCATGTCCGTCTGTCCGTCTGTCCGTAAGTTCGTCTGTCCGTAAGTTCGCCTGTCCGTAAGTTCGTCTGTCCGTTTCTCCTCAAAGTAGTCTCTTGCTTAGTTTTAAGGCTATTATATGAATAAAACTCTTTCTTTTACAGTATATAAGTCGGAGCGGACCATAGGAACATACCATAGAAAAATAAATTAAACAAATTTTTACTTCCTTGTTTTGAAATGTATACGGATATACTCTTAGACATAGTGGTATTTTAAAATTTCAGAATTTTTATACCCGTTACTCGTAGAGTAAAAGGGTATATTGTATTCGTGCAAAAGTATGTAACAGCTAGAAGGAAGCGTTTCCGACCCTATAAAGTATATATATTCTTGATCAGGGTCACTAGCCGAGTCGATATAGCCATGTCCGTCTGTCTGTCCGTCTGTCTGTCCGTATGAACGCTGAGATCTCGGAAACTATAAAAGCTAGAAGATTGGCATTTTGCAAGCAGATTCTAGGAGTTCCTACGCAGCGCAAGTTTGTTTCAAAATAGTGCCACGCCCCCTTTAACGCCCACAATCGCTTATATACGATTTTAAAAATTTAAATATTTCGGAAAAGAAAAAATGCAGTTTTATTGTGTTTATCAATACCTATCGAAATGTAGAAGAAATTTTTCAAATCGGACCATTCGTTAAAAAGTTATGCGTGATCAAAGTTTCTATCTCCATCTCCCTCGTACTCCCTTTACCTGAGTAACGGGTATCTGATAGTCGGGGCACCCGACTATAGCGTTCTCTCTTGTTTTAGAATCAGACGACTGTATCATTTAGCTGCCATTGGAAAGATCGAAAAAGAAAATCGATACATGTATATTTGTTTTAAATAATATATTTTATTTTTCTAATACCGGCAAGGCTTTGTAAACTTAGCTTCCTTTATTGGGGCATATATATTTTTTTAAGAGGTAATGGCCTTGAACTTCATCTGACTACTCATTAAAAATAAAGATTGCGAAAGTTTCTAGTCTATTTCGACTGGCCTAGTTATGCTGTTAGAAAATATAACTATGTATCTATTAATACTTTATAGGATGGAATATGGTTCTTTCTCTGCGTATCAAAAATCTTACCAAAATGTATATCACTCTGCATGGGTATATAATGATTAGCTCAATTAGTAGTAATGACTTAAAAACTGGGTTATAACTGCAGGTATCTGTAGGCATCGGTGCAGCGTTTCCTAATTTTTCAAAACCCACAAACGACTTACATAGAACATGAACTTGCGATCCAACTCCAATCAACGAGACAATCGCGAGCAGCCGAAGGAGGCTCAGACTAGTTTGTGAGTTGTAGGAGAGTGGCAGCGTCTGGGCAGCGTTCGATGCTGGTGATAATGTCCTATATCCTTTGGAAAGCCTCATCCTTTGCACGGGGCGACGTGACTTACGGAATGTGCTCGAGAGAAATCAGAAACCTTCATCATAGTTCCGAAAAAACTCAGCTGCTTTCTGGCACTGAATCTTGTCGATAGCTGTGCAAATCCTTAACTTTTCTCTTTACCATTTGAATTACTGAAAGAGAGCAAAAGAAACCATTTAGGAAAGGATCAAAGTGCTTATGACAGGGATTATTATGCGTAGTTATCGGGGAATGCCAACACACATTAAAACGATAATATCCAAAGCCTGAAATAATTTTTGAAATGCATTTAAAAATGCATTTACATCACACAGCTTCTCAGTATGGCCACAATTAATTTTTGCTACCCACCGTTTGAATTTGGAAACTATCAGGCGTTTTCAGGCTTACACTTTGACAATTATTCTGTTTTTTTTAACGGAAAAAAATGATACGGTTTACGCAAAACGAAAGTTTTCCGCGAAATATAATAGGCCAGAGTTGTGCCCGCGTTTTGAAAGCAATGGTATCTTATTGACAAGCGACCAAATATTTGAATCATTGATGTATAAGCTTTTCTTTGACACTATCAGAATATTTACTATTTGTTATTATTATTTGTTTCAATTCCTGCCCATTTGGTTTCGGTAGCTCAAAATATATGCATAATAATTATCATCGAGCGCACTTTATTAAGGTACGACCCTTACTCAAGCTAACGTGAACAAGCTGCTGTCTTAAATTAAGGCAAAGAACACGAAGTAAAATAAATTAATTTAATAATAATTCAGTAATTTAATTTCACTTAACCATCTTTTAAGAAGCTGAGAATTTTCAATTTAATTCGATTCACTGAACGTCGATTTATTTCCCCCTTTTCAGTTTTAAAGTATTTTGTCTTAGCACCATATCGTCGAAAACAAATTTTATTTTTTATTAAGTTTCGTTAAACAAATTTGTTTTTTTTTCGTCTGAAAAAAAATTGTTATTATTTTCGAAAAAAAATTAAGCTAAAATTTCGTTAAACTTTCTTCTGTATTCAGTGACCGATTTTAATGGCATTTCGAGAAAACAGTTTCAACTTCAGTATTAGTATATGCAACAGATATGCTAAGTGTCTAAGCTTATATCTTCGCAATATATTCTTCAACTTAAAGAAAATGATGAAAATTTATGATGGAAAATGGGGCAATACCTTAGGGGCATTAAGCGCAGACTTCATTAAACTCATTGTCCCGTGAAATAAGAGTAATTATGCTAGCTTCTTATTATTGGTTAAGCAAACGTTTGTTAAAATAAATATTATTGAAAAATGTGCAATCTTGGGCAAACGTTTATTTTTGAAAACAACTACTGTTTTATATAGTTTTGACATATGCATTGACTACCGGAAATAGAAAAAAAACTTTTGGGTTTCGCCCAAAAAGCTTTAAAACTGAGAAATAAGTTGGCACTGAAACGACAGTCGACCATCAAAGGGTATAAACTGCTAAATATTTACGAAAATTAAAGTTTTATAAGAAAATAATCAATTTTATCTAGCTTTTATTTTTTTCAAAATTTAAAATTTTAAAAATGGTTTTGCTATTATAAAAAAAATGTAAAATGAAATATTTGTTCACATATATTGAACAATTCTGACACTGTAGTTTTCATCCTTTTAAATTAAAAAAATAATATTATTCTACTCAGCATCTTAGATCTACATACAACCTGACATAACTGACATTATGTGGTATAATTATTAATATTTAATCTCTGCCATGAAAATATTAATATACATTTTGGTAAATATGTCGATCTATTTTTAGGCCTAAATATAATTTCGGTTAGAGAATTGTAACTCAGTGATCAGCATCACTATGCATATGGGCCTCACTAAGCATTACAACTATTCAAATCGATAAAAACTAAAATATAATGGACAAGACTGTATAAATAACATAAATATAATAATAAATACAAATTCCTTCTGCATTTGTCCAGCTTGAATTATTGGTTTTATTTTAATTGTCCAAGCGATAAAATTGTAGTCAAAAGCAACCCAAGCTCCGATTATAAAGTTAACGATTTACAAGTTAAGCCTATAGACAGAAGAAAACCGCCTTTTTATTTGCCTTTTTTATTTTAAATGTGAAAAGAGCACGTTCCTTATGAACGGAAAAGTACACATGTGCATTAGTTTCTGTCTCTTTAAGAAGCTAAAAACTAAGCAAGGATAATAAGAGTGATTTGGAAAAAATTGACCCAGATAATAAAAAATGCCATTAAACTATATTTGGGGGGTATTTAGTAAAAATTCTCTTTAACGCCTTTCATGTAAGTAATATATATTGTAGCAGGACAGTGGGTAGCTGTGGTCTAATATTTCTTGTTTTATTTTAAGTTCCCCTTTCTATCAAATCACGCATTCTGCCTATGCATACAGGAAAACTCATATATTTTTGGCAAAAAGATTAACATTTATGCCCAAGGTGATTTTTAATCCCATAAATAAAGCTGTAGTCGGATTCCCGACGTTGAGTACTTATTTTTTATTATTATTATTTTAAGGAATTAAGCCTCTTCAATTGGAATGAGTTTGATAAATTTGCTTATTTAGTTATTATCACCAAGCTAAGGAATATTTCGCCTAGCCAGTAATGGACTTATTAAAAATATGGCATTATTAAGCAAAAGTAAGTCGTTTTTTAAAACTCATTAGTTCGACTTACCATGTGCAGCAGTGTGTTGTGCCTACCATTCAAGATACCAGGAACTGTCGCGAATTGGGAACCACTTCTGTTGTTAGCACACGACACATTTGAACCAAAACACTTGCACTTTTGTATTAGGTTTGCAAAAAAAATACAACAAAAATATTACTTGATCCAAGTATAATTTAGTTCTTGCTCTCTGCGACTCTTTTCGCTTCAAAATTAACACAATTTTACACAACAAAATAACGTGCTAGGACTATTCCACATTAGACGGTCAGAAATACGAAGACAGGTGCGTTTTATTCATGCGCTCTATCCGGCGAGCACGTAGGTATCCCTTATCCTTGAAAACCGTAATGAACTGTCGTTCGCAAAAACGCTAGACTCCATTCCAAGCATCCGAATAAAAAGCTCAGGATTCATGAGTGAAAGCTTGTCTGCACACTCAACGCCCCTTTTTGAGTGACTATGTGGTGGATTTAGACGCAGCTTTTGGGGAAACTTACCACAGCTCATCCCATCTCTCCTGGATGGAGAAGTACCTTCTGTCCCAAAGTTTTCCCCAGGATTATGATAAAACTGGGAAATATTTTGTCTGGACGGGATGTTATTTATTCAATAACCTTCTTAAGGCTTTGTTAAAATTTCTAGTCGTAAATAAATTTGAATATTATATCAATGTATTATCAATGTATTATTAGAAAATGCTTTTCTCTTAGTCGCCATTACATTTTGTTGTTCCAATGAACATTTTGCTCAATACCATTTTTTTCAAGTCTATTGAATACTTACTTTACAAGCTCTACTGAACAAAGTTGCCAACAGCATTATCTCTTTTTAAGTAAACAATTATCGTTAGAAGTTACACAATAAGTAGTTACAATGGAAACAGTAAAATACTTCTACACAATATTAGGGATTTTAGTTAAGTTACAGCAACAAACGCCATACAAAACATTGACAAAGTTTACAAGTTTGGGTTTTACACCCGACTTTGCATTACATTTATAATATTTGCTATACAATCCTAAGTTGGCTTCTTATACTTGTTTATGGACAGTGATCAAAATTTTTAGATTAAAAGGATTTAGATCATGTAGATTTTTATGGTCATACATTGGGTTCCTACACTAAAAATCTAAATTTTACGATAAAGTACCACAAGTATATTGTGAAGTCGGGGTAGAATAAGTATGGATAGGAAGAAAAGTCCTTTATAAAGCTTAAAAACTCCTGGTGCTATAAACCTGAAAATTTTGTAAATGTATAAAAATAGTGATCTAAGTTTTACAAGAAAGTCCCACAAGTTCAAGAAAAGTCCTATAAAAAACTTAAAAACTCCTTGTGCTAAAAACCTGAAAGCAAAGTTTTGGCGATAAAAGCGAATGAAATATGTGCGTTAACTGCGAACTTTTAAAGTTGGTCCTGAAAATGTTGGTTTGAACGGAAATAAAAAGTGTAATGTTTGCAATTTAATAGGGAATGTACTCCAATATTCTCGTAAAAAGCGTCTTCACACGCCTTCGCTGTAATATTCACTTGAAGAAGCTTTCACAAAATCGTTATTATTTTTTTGAGTCCATTCGGCCATTGGCTTTTAGCAAAGGAACCTTTGATTTAGCATTTAAATTGGTGGGTATACTTATTAAGCCTATTTATACCCAACAGTAGACACGTCGGATATCTCAATGTGTGTTTAACACACAACAGTAAAACCAGAAGCAATTCAAAAATTGTTTTGGTCATTCGAGCACTCCCACTTCCGAAGGATGCATACCGTGAGTGGCAAGAACCTGAGCAGCGAAGAGTTAGAGGAAGTCCACAAGTGGCTGCTCCAGAACAGCATCAGCACCCACAGGTTGCGCCGCGAGTTCTCCGATGTGTTGCCCCTCGCCGAGGTGTTGAAGCGCGACTATCCGCGCCTGGTCGACCTGTACAATTACCCGAAGAAGAGCAGTGTGCAGCTGAAGCTGGCCAACTGGGAGACGTTCAACTTCAAGGTGCTGTCCAAGTTCAACATGACGCTGAGCAGGGACTTCATGGACCAGCTGGCCAACGGGGTCAACGGGGCCGCGGAGGTGCTGCTGCACGAGGTGATCCGGCTGGAGAAACGGCAGCGGGTGGCCGAGGAGCGCAATGCGGCGATGCGGCAGGAACAGGCCTGGGAGGAGAACGACGAGGTGAAGACGGTGGTGGTCAACAAGCAGGTGGGGGACGGCATCGTCCAGGTGCCGCAGAAGATGATTCTCTACTCGCTCTACGAAAAAATGGCACGGGACAGTCAGGCCAAGGACGTGATCATCGACGCCTACCAGCAGCGACTGGCCCACATGGAGAGCATAATCAAGATCAAGTCGGAGCGGATCGACGAGCTCCTGATGCAGATGGGCAAAATACCCCAGAAGGGAGCCACTGGCGCCGCGTCCAACTGCTGCCTCGCATTCGAGACGAAGGACTCCGTACGCAAGCGTCCGAGTCTCACTCCCATTTCATCTGGCGACCCGGACTGTGCCACCTGAATGCGGATGTGTTTCATTTAAAAAGTTGCGGTTTTACCGATTTGTAGTTACAGAGATTGTTAAAGGAACCAAATTACCGATTACAGATAAATAGACTACAGAGCAGAAGAAGTTTGTGCAGTCAGGGGCCATTTGTTTAGCGCTGTCAATAGTTGCAATATTCTTAATGCAAACATTAAAGTGTATGGTTATTTTAATGGAAGGCTATTGTTTCTTTTTAGGTTTCGATGTATCAGACATCCACAGTTTATATTTATTGTATGCAGATATTTAGATAAACAGCAAGGACAATCATTTTAAAGCCACCATTTTCTGAGAAATATTTTTAGGTGCATTTGTTTATCACCTTTACCACCGCTGAATAATTATATTTTCTATTTCACATTAACATTATCACACAAAACATTATCAAATAAAATATTTTTTGCCAAATTCACAATTTACACGCAATACAAATTAAGTTCGTACCTGGTAATTATCGTACTTACATGTTTTGGAACTTCCTGCATTAGACATTTTGAATAGGTACATATGTTGTTTTGGCCTCTTGAGGGAGTACTACCCTTTGTGCGTCAAGGTTCAAAGGTTAAATGAAGTAAACATTTTATTTTTCAATTTTTAAGCAATTTTATTTGTTTCACATTTGTAATTCTCTATTCAAACACCGGTCTCACTACACACCATAGATATATTTCCTATTAAATACTGTTTCCTAACATTCGATTCTTCCATTGCTTTGTTAAACATTACTTTGATTTTGGTGTAGTAGTTCCAACATTTTCTACTTTTAACTATTGCGAGTCTCATATCGCTTTCGTCAATCTTACCCAACAAAATATGATCGAGATATCTTCGTAATTTTTCATAATCCAAGAACTCCTGTATTAAGTTTGATTTCTTTTCGTTACTCCACTTCTCTTTGATTGCCACTTTTATCCTACGAATGAGTTGCTCAAACTCAGAATTATGATTGGTTTTATTTTGATGATACGCTTCTATGATGTTCATGAGCTTATTAGTACACAGATCTTCGGATGAATTGTTATTCTAAAGGAAGGATATGTACATATATATATTAAAGGTTCTGCTTATGATTTTTACTCCGACTATAACGTTAAATATTTTTTGATTAATAAAAAATATATATTGTAAACATATTTTATAGTACCTCTTTAGGGTAAATTGCAGGTATTTATACAAAAATGAGGAAGGGAGAAGGAAGCTTTTCCGACCCTAATTAATATGAAATCACTAAGGAGGATGAGAGGAAACCCGTAAAAAAGAGAGAAGGAGTAGTGTTGAAGGGATTCAGTTGAAGTACATTAATTCATGTAATGGTAACCATTTTCGGCTTGCCAACGTTTGTTTTTTGATCATTTTTTCAGCTTTTGGTATTATACTTTTAATTTATACCCATTGCTCCTAGAGTAAAAGGGCGGAATATGTCAAAACGGCACTAAAAACTTATTCAGTCAATATTTATCGACACAGCAAAATATAATTTAATTCAAGTTAATTATGACGTCACTGCATTTTTGAAAAGCGGAGTTTATATATTTGCGAGACAGGAAGAGAACGAGAAAACTGTTAGCGGGGGGCGAAAATGCCGATGCATCTTTTAGAGATGGCAATATAAAATTTGTTGTCCTGTTTAGTACTATTTACAGTTGCATTTGCTCTATTCGCCACTTCGCCAAGGCTGTTTTCTTCGATCTTGCTTCGGAATCATGTATCTTCACGTAGTTTATATTAAAATAGCTAAACTGCCTACTTAAGTTCCGTCACTGACAAAAACAGCTCGCCAAAGAAAGCGGAACTGTTAAAATTTCAATTGCCATTGGGAACTTCGTAATAGTCGAAACATGATTAAAGATCGAAGAAAGTACGTTTTAAGGTACACATAGCATATTGGTAATATTTTGGCTAAATATACCTTTTTTTATACAATCAATTATTGCCGCATTTATCCTTTCCGTTTGAAACAGGAAGATGCTAAGAATTGTATTAGTTCCGATATCGATAAGAAACTTGTTTATAGCCTAGTTACACTTTCGCGAGTTTCCTATCGGTTTCTAAGTTAACGAAATCACGCAGAGCTGTCGTTCACACTGAGAAAACTCGAGTATACATATGCGTTGGACTATAGGAAAACCGCGGCTCATTATTCTGATTAGCAAATGAAAACAAATAAGAATCAGGGAAAACAGCGGCAAAGCTAACAAAAATAACTTAGTGTTATTGTTAATAGCCTGAACAACCTTGGCAATAATACCTTGTATGAAATAATACGTTTTTTTTAGCCCAAATGTATCCAATATGCTCTGGGTACTGAAAAAGGATGCCTTAAAGATTTTGAATATTTTTAATGATTTGATCTAAAATGAGATTTCAGCCATTTCGGAAGTCTCAATATTTCATAAACAATTTTATAAACAGATCTCGGTTGCAAACGAGAATTCAAATCCATATCCTTCCGTCTTCATTTGCCATCTGTTCTTTGATAGTTGATATAGAAATATTGAGTAGAAATCGAAAAAAGAGATGGCAGCTTCAAACTCAACTTAAACGCAATTCTCCCCATCTCTTTGACCCAATGCTTGGCCTATGTACAAACAAGAAAGGAAAGCTAACTTCGGGCGGAGCCGAAGTTGATATACCCTTGCAGAATATTCTATAAATTATATTCTCCAAAATTATTCATATGATGCATTCTTAACACTCATAAAAAGTCCCAACTTCCTAACTTTAAAAACACCAAAGTTATGTCATTTCCAATCGTTCAGTTATATGGCAGCTATAAGATATAGTAGGCTGATCCTTATGAAATTTGGTAGGTCGGATTGATTGGCCAAAACTAAAACCCACAGAAAATCCCAATTTCCTAACATTACAAACACCAAAGCTATTGCATTTCCGATCAATCAGTTATATGGCGGCTATAGGATATAGTCCGATCCTTATGAAATTTGGTAGCTCGGATTGATTAGCCAAAAATAAGACCCATAAAAAATCCCAACTTCATAACTTTAAAAACACCAAAGTTATGGCATTTCCGATCGTTCAGTTATATGGCAGCTATATGATATAGTGGCCCGATCCGGCTCGTTCCGACTTATATACTACCTGCAATAGAAAGACAACTTTTGGGAAAGTTTCAAGCAGATAGCTTTAAAACTGAGGGACTAGTTTGCGTAGAAACGGACGGACAGACGGACAGACGGACAGACGGACAGACGGACGGACAGACGGACGGACAGACGGACAGACGGACATGGCTAGATCGACTCTCCTGGTGATGCTGATCAAGAATATATATACTTTATAGGGTCGGAAATGTCTCCTTCACTGCGTTGCAAACTTTTGACTGAAATTATAATACCCTCTGCAAGGGTATAAAAACAGAGTTAAGCCCCAAACGCAATAACGACGTCCAAGTGTAATTAGTGCCCTAGTGTAAATAAGCTATAACACTGATGATTCAGGCTCATCGATCCTTTTGTGTGTGTTTTAATCTAAGCGGGCACATGACGTTGTTCACTGAATTTAAAGAAATAAATATTTAATAGATGTAAATAAATCAAAATATTTGTTTCAGAAAATAAATTCCATTTGAAGCGTGGTATTTGAAGGGCTCTTGTCTTACGAAAATATGTATATAAAACGCCTAGACTTAAAAAATAAAGTCGCTTACTTTGATAACTCGTATAATATTGTCGTCTGATTGTATACGTTGACTTTATCTCGAGTTTCTGTCTAAAAATGTATAATGTAATGGAATTAAAGGATTTATTGGACATGATTAATGGTTCAAGCTGGTGGCAGTGTAGGTTAAAAAGTCAAAAAATATCGAATAGATCTAAGCTTTTATGTATATTCTCACTTTTGACAAAAGGAACGATATATTGAAAGTGAACTAGTTTTTTTTGTTTTAAGACAACAAATAGTACTTCTAACAATGCTAGTGTCGAGTTCCCAAAATGATGATATGCATTTTTAGTGCAAATGAATTAATCCCAAAAACAAATGTGCACCATTTCCTTGCAGAAGGTTGAGTATAAAGGGGTATTACAATGCGAGGGGGCCAAGTATTGTTCACAAAACCAGATCCGGAATTTTGTTTGACATTGAAAGGGCATTTATGAGCATCAATCTTTCTGAATAGTGCGATTACTACCCAACTGTATTTCCAGATTACATCGAAGGCCGGAAACGAAGTTTAGAAGAGCAGCATGATGAGAACCGACAAGGACTTACTGCTGACACGCCGGAGTTTCAGGAGGACCGCCAACCTGCCGCAACCCAGTGCACACCTACCACGCCCACCACAGTTCCACACTCTTTGCTCCGCAGAGAAGGGAAGCAACTTGTTGCAAGTGTGGCTGCAAGAAGCCCGGGTGCTAGGAATTTTGTATACTTTGAAAACACAGCAAATTTCTTGTTTAAGCTTTTTTCTTTTCATTTAGATAACAAATCATGTGAACGCCAGTTGTATAACGCCACAGTTTTCCCGTCTTAACGACCACGCTCTGAAGGATTACTCACTCAGCACCTACATAAGTATATCTTCTACGGGCCATTCGAATCAGGTGCGAATCAATTCGTAAGTGTATTTCGCTAGTATATGGTTACATTTGAATGCGAATTTAACCGGGATATCTATGATACATATCAGCTATTATTCATAAACTACCATTACAGTTCTTAAACTTGAAACCTGCTATATTAAATATGTGGTTCAATAAATAATTTTAATTCAGTAACTTACGGCCTATGCAAGGACGATTTAAAAAATATGTTATTGATTCCGATTAAGACCTTATCAGCTCTTGTCTCTTGAGCTTGCATGCAATATTATCCAATCTTATCCAAAATTTCAAAACACTGCGTCACACCAAAAATTAATCCGAGTCCGGCAACAAAAATGTTCCTGCACGTCAGCGTTTTTAGAAAATGGGCCACAAGAATGGACAAATTAATTTTTTGTTAATTTTGGAACCATTAACAGGGGAACGAATTAAAGTTTAAGAAATTTTTATCAACACTTCCAAAAATTGTAAAAACAGTATCTAATTAATTAGCACATTTTCGTAACATGGATGATAAAACAATATTGCACACAAGTTTGCAAGACTACTTAAAAACGTATCCAAACTCTAATCGAATTCGAGTGAAACGTTTAAAAGTAAATACTGAACAGGCCTCATGTACATACATATATATTTTTTTTAACGAAAACGCTTCCTTCTCTATCTTATCCATTTTTTTTTACCAAATAAATTATAATTTTGTACTCCAAAAAGCAACACGATTTAAAGAAGTGTTTTTTTAAACATGAATGTTCTAAAATTGATGTTTGTTAACATTTAGTAATTTGTATAGTAATTTGCGTGGCAGCAGCGTAATTTTACTGTTTAATTACTATTTTTAGCATTATTATTGTTATATACTATATTAGTTTTAGCTTTTTCAAGCTAATAATATTTATTATTTAAATTTATTTGAGTGCAACAAATATTTTTTTAAATATGAAACAAAGTAAGTTTTTTTAATTGCTATTTCTAAATTACTATACAAACTACTAATTGTGAACTGTAAATGAACGATTATTAAACAAAAATAATATAAATCAAAAAATGCAGTCGAACTTCCAAGTCTCGAACTTCCCTGAATAGAATTTTCGATAATTTACCCAAAACTAAGTAACAATAGTGTTTACCGACTAGATTTCATACCAATTTATCTCCATAAGTCGAACTTCCTTAACTCAATTTTCTCTATAGTTGGCTCTGAATTTTAAATATCATATTAACTTCCATATGACGAACATTGTAATTTATTTACATTTACATATATGAATATCATTTTTTTCGGGTTACATATAGTTTAGCGATTTAATCGATATTTTTATCAATATTTGGTTTGAGTTCTTCAGAATTCGAATTCGTCGAACTTATGCTTTAGAATGCAAATCATGTAGAAAATTGTTTTAATTTAACTTTTGTTTTAATTTAACTATTTAACTTTAATGAAAGGGCATGAAATTCGACTAAAAGAAGTTTGAGACTGTTTGAAAAAAGAAATTGCAAATCAAATGCAAGCGCACGTACCAGTTTGTAGTTTGAACTCGAAGATGAGTTAATATTACTTATAACTGTTGGACTGAATATCTCTTGATTACAAAATTGTAGTCCCCCGCTTCCATGTTTTGATGTGTTTGACTTAATCGCTTGAGAGGTCAATTTAATTAATGGTTGATTGACTAAAATATTTTGAGTTATATGGCATGTGAGATGATTTTTTCTTATTATTTTCCACTTTTCAGTATTGGACTTAACTAAGCTTGTAATTAAATCGTTGGCCATATTTTTATAATGTTCAATACATGCTGAAGACACATTTGTTTTGTTCATGTTTTTTAAAATTTTGTTAAGCTTAAAAAATATCAAGCTCTCCAACTCGATTCGCGTCTTGTCATAAATTGTAAAATTTGAATAAGTATTAACTTTAATATGACTTCCCGGTTTGCCCAAATGTGAGGACAAATTTAGCATCTTGATTTTTTCATCGAATTCATAATTATTTGATGAATTTACTTTTGGAAACATATATTTTTTTTTAATACTCTCAAGTCTTTTGTTGATAATATTCCCCACAATCAAGTTTAAAGGCTATAAATAAAAAAATACAAAAATTATAATATTCATTAGGCTTAAAACTTAAAAAAATATTACCTGTAAGTTTTTCGAAGAGATAAATTCTTCAGTTGTCGAAATCAGACGCTTTTTTAAACTGGAATACGTCTGAATTAACCTTTCCGATTTATCATCATTAGAATAAAATATTGAGTCATTTCTATGTTTAGTAAAATGTAACTTGGTGCTAATGGGCTCTGTCAGATCTATTTTAGGACTTTGGTTTTTATTTTTGATTGTTTCATAAGGAAATCGAAATGTTTTAGAGACATGGCTTATCATATTATCAGACGCAATTTTGTTGGCAGTGTGTCCAGCTTTTGTTTGATTTTCATTCATCAAATTTTCAATCAGCTTTGTGGGGAGAACACCTGGCTGAATTTTCTAAAAAAAAATTTAATATTTTATTTTATGATTAATGTTTTACAAAATTTGATTTTAAATATTTTTAAAATTGGCTTAAATTTCTTTCCAAATAATAAATGTTTTTTCCTACAACATTTTGTTGCTTTACCTAAAAGCTAAACTTGTGATGAATGTCCAATATCATTAGCATTAAAAATAATGCATTTAAATGATACAATAACATAAGGTAGTCTCGTCGGCTGTCTAAACGTTCGGGTTTTGGTCAGTGCGTGTTCGTTTTTTGAAGAGGAAGGTTGTCTGCGGACGACATTTTTAAAGAATTAACCCTTGTGCAACATGACTTTTTGACATATAAAAGTTTTATTTTAAGATTAGAATATATTTCAGAATTAAGAATCTTAACAAAAGACTGAACATTCAAAAACAAAAACGACGATGTTCAATAACAACGATGCTATTATTTTATTTCTCTTTCTTTCCGATTGTTCCTATGGGAGCTACAGTGACAAACTTAATTATTGGCACAGCAAGCATGTTGTATTCGTGCAAAAGTATGTAACAGCTAGAAGGAAGCGTTTCCGACCCTATAACGTATATATATTCTTGATCAGGGTCACTAGCCAAGTCGATATAGCCATGTCCGTCTGTCCGTCTGTCCGTCTGTCTGTCTGTCTGTCCGTATGAACGCTGAGATCTCGGAAACTATAAAAGCTAGAAGATTGGCATTTTGAATGCAGATTCTAGTAGTTCCTACTCAGCGCAAGTTTATTTCAAAAAGGTGCCACGCCCCCTTTAACGCCCACAATCGCTTATATACGATTTTAAAAATTTAAATATTTCGGAAAAGTAAAAATGCAGTTTTATTGTGTTTATCAATACCTATCGAAATGTTGAAGAAATTTTTCAAATCGGACCATTCGTTAAAAAGTTATGTGTGATCAAAGTTTCTATCTCCATCTCCCTCGCACTCCCTTTACCTGAGTAACGGGTATCTGATAGTCGGGGCACCCGACTATAGCGTTCTCTCTTGTTTTTATATGACATTTTTGCAGTATAAACCCTATTGACATGAAACTATGCAAATCGAATTTATTTATGTATATCTTGCTTAGGGAAAAAGTTCTTGCCAATCAGACAACTATATACTACAGCTGCCATTTAAAAATTAAATTGGTTACATATAGGTAATCTTTTTTTTAATTTCGCGCAGTGTATAAGCTGTTGACATCAATTTTTCAAGGTCTGCAAGGGTATATACTTTTCTAATACATTTCGCTGCGCAGATATCATATTATTTTTGACCCGCAATAACAGGCGAACAGTCTCTTTTTTTTAATTTTAGCCAAAGAGTTGCAAAAAAGTATTCCATTATTAATGTAAATGTCCTAGATTTAAAGTAAATGTTTTGTGTAACACAGTGTCATTTTTGTACTTGCTCGTTTTTATAATAGTTAACAATATTTTATAATAACCTACAATAGATACAGTATGATGAGTATCGGATTACCGAGTTACCTTTATTGTTTTCTCCGTAGTATCTAATAAGGTAGGCTTCGTGATTGTACAGTTACAAGAGCAAATGTCCTCATCGGGGTCAATCACGCATGTACACAAACAAAGCCCTTCTTCAGTAAGGTCAGTGCCGATTGGCAGCTCTGTTGACGGAGCTCTGCTGCTTAATAATCTCGCAGTCCTTGATTTATTAAAGTTAGTTTTGAAAAAATTTGTAGTTTCCCTATTATTTATTTTATAACTAGAAATGCCAGCGAATGTGGATATACTTCTCGATTGCTGGGCAAATGATATTCTATGTTCTGTGTGTTCCTTAGATAAATTTTGATCAGATATAGCTGGTTTAATTGTGGTTATATGTGTATTTGTATGATAATTGAAACTTATTAATTCATTTTCTGTTTTTATATTTGCTGAATAAACGGGTATCATTACAATTTCTTTTAAACTACTTTTTCTTAAGTTTGCATCTGTTGTCACCGATTGCCTATATATATTGTCGTTTGTGTCGATTGATACTAATATCGATTGGGGTGATAATATGGATAGTTTTCTTGTTTCCTCTCGAGTTGCATAATATTTTTCTGCACTCGAAATTGAAAATGAACTTATTGATGTTAATTTCATTGTTTCCTCTTTACTGAGTTGATATTTTTCTGTACTCGGAATTTTAAATGGACTACTTGGTATTTTACTATATAGAGGTGTAGCTTTCGATAGCTTTTTGGTTTCCTCTTTAGTTATTCCATTTTTTTCTTTACTTAAAATTGAAAATAAACTACTTGATTTAATAATATATTGAGAAAAAAATTTAGTTGTAGACAGAGGTAGAGGTTTTGATGATTCATTTTTTTTTTCTTGAGGTGTTGGGTATTTTTCTGTATTCAGAATTTTGAATAAACTACTTGAAACTTTTTTAGATATTGGTGAAGATTTCGATAGATTTATTGTTTCCACTTGAAATGTTTGATATTGTTCAGCACTCGAAATTGCAAATGAACGTTTCGATCGATGTCCAGGTTCTGATAGTTTACTTGTTTCCTCTTGAGTTATTTGATATTCTGTACTCGGAATTTTGACTAACCTACTTGATATTGTAATCGATTGCGATTGAGCTTTCGAAAGTTTTCTTGTTCTTTCTTGACTCAGTTCATATTTTACTGCACTCGTAATTTCTGCACTCGGAATTAAAAATGAACTTATTGACATTTGAAGCGATTGGGGTGCGGATTCAGCTAGTTTACTTGTTTCCTCATGAGTTTTTTGATATTTTTTAGTACTGGGAATTTTGAATAAGCTACCTAATTTTGTAGTTGATTTCGAGGATGATTTTGATAGATTTCTTGTTTTCTGTTTTTTACTCAGTTGATATTTTTCTGTACTCGAAATTACAACAGAACCTTTTGTATTTCGTATCGATTGCGGTGCAGGTTCCGATAGCTTACTTGTTTCCGCTTGAGTTATTTGATATTTTTCCGTCCGCGAAACTTCTGCACTCGGAATTGCAAATGAACTTATTGACATTCGAATCGATTGAGTTGCAGATTCCGAGAGCGCACTCGTTTTCTCTGGACTTATTTGATATATTTCAGTACTTGGTATTTTGAATAAGCTACTTGATATTGTAATCGATTTCGACGGCGATTTCGATAGTTTCCTTGTCTGCTCTGGACTCAGTTGATATGTTTCTGTACTTGAAATTGCAAATGAACTTATTGATATTTGAGTCGATTGCCGTGCAGATTCTGATTGCTTACTGGTTTCCTCTTGCGTTATTTGATATTTTTCCGTACTCGGGATTTTGAATAAGCTACCTGATATTGTAATTGTTTCCGAGGATGATTCATATATTTCTGTACTCGAAATTTCAATTGAACTTTTTGTAACTGGTATCGATTTAGGTGCAGGTTCCGATAGCTTACTTGTTTCCTCTTGAGTTATTTGATATTTTTCCTTACTCGAAATTTCTGCACTCGGAATTGCAAATGAACTTATTGACATTTGAATCGATTGAGTTGCAGATTTCGATAGCTTACTGGATTCCTCTGGACTTATTTGATATTTTTCAGTAGTCGGTATTTTGAATAAGCTACTTGATATTGTAATCGATTTCGACGGCGATTTCCACAGTTTTCTTGTGTGCTCTTGACTCAGTTGATATGTTTCTGTACTAGAAATTGCAAATGAACTTCTTGATATTTGAGTCGATTGACGTGTAGATTCTGATAGCTTACTGGTTTGCTCTTGCGTTATTTGATATTTTTCCGTCCGCGAAACTTCTGCACTCGGAATTGCAAATGAACTTATTGACATTCGAATCGATTGAGTTGCAGATTCCGAGAGCGCACTCGTTTTCTCTGGACTTATTTGATATATTTCAGTACTTGGTATTTTGAATAAGCTACTTGATATTGTAATCGATTTCGACGGCGATTTCGATAGTTTCCTTGTCTGCTCTGGACTCAGTTGATATGTTTCTGTACTTGAAATTGCAAATGAACTTATTGATATTTGAGTCGATTGACGTGCAGATTCTGATAGCTTACTGGTTTCCTCTTGCGTTATTTGATATTTTTCCGTACTCGGGATTTTGAATAAGCTACCTGATATTGTAATTGTTTTCGAGGATGATTCATATATTTCTGTACTCGAAATTTCAACTGAACTTTTTGTAACTGGTATCGATTTAGGTGCAGGTTCCGATAGCTTACTTGTTTCCTCTTGAGTTATTTGATATTTTTCCTTACTCGAAATTTCTGCACTCGGAATTGCAAATGAACTTATTGACATTTGAATCGATTGAGGTGCAGATTTCGATAGCTTACTGGTTTCCTCTGGACTTATTTGATATTTTTCTGTAGTCGGTATTTTGAATAAGCTACTTGATATTGTAATCGATTTCGACGGCGATTTCGATAGTTTTCTTGTCTGCTCTTGACTCAGTTGATATTTTTCTGTACTTGAAATTGCAAATGAACTTATTGATATTTGAGTCGATTGCCGTGCAGATTCTGATAGCTTACTGGTTTCCTCTTGCGTTATTTGATATTTTTCCGTCCGCGAAACTTCTGCACTCGGAATTGCAAATGAACTTATTGACATTTGAATCGATTGAGGTGCAGATTTCGATAGCTTACTGGTTTCCTCTGGACTTATTTGATATTTTTCAGTAGTCGGTATTTTGAATAAGCTACTTGATATTGTAATCGATTTCGACGGCGATTTCGATAGTTTTCTTGTCTGCTCTTGACTCAGTTGATATTTTTCTGTACTTGAAATTGCAAATGAACTTATTGATATTTGAGTCGATTGCCGTGCAGATTCTGATAGCTTACTGGTTTCCTCTTGCGTTATTTGATATTTTTCCGTACTCGGGATTTTGAATAAGCTACCTGATATTGTAATGGTTTTCGAGGATGATTCATATATTTCTGTACTCGAAATTTCAACTGAACTTTTTGTAACTGGTATCGATTGAGGCGCAGGTTCCGATAGCTTACTTGTTTCCTCTTGAGTTATTTGATATTTTTCCTTACTCGAAATTTCTGCACTCGGAATTGCAAATGAACTTATTGACATTTGAATCGATTGAGATGCAGATTCCGATAGCTTACTGATTTTCTCTGGACTTATTTGATATTTTTCAGTACTCGGTATTTTGAATAAGCTACCTGATATTGTAATTGTTTTCGAGGATGATTCATATATTTCTGTACTCGAAATTTCAACTGAACTTTTTGTAACTGGTATCGATTGAGGCGCAGGTTCCGATAGCTTACTTGTTTCCTCTTGAGTTATTTGATATTTTTCTTTACTCGAAATTTCTGCACTCGGAATTGCAAATGAACTTATTGACATTTGAATCGATTGAGGTGCAGATTCTGATAGCTTACTGGTTTCCTCTTGACTTATTTGATATTTTTCAGTAGTCGGTATTTTGAATAAGCTACTTGATATTGTAATCGATTTCGACGGTGATTTCGATAGTTTCCTTGTCTGCTCTTGACTTAGTTGATATATTTCTGTATTCGAAATTTCAACTGAACCTTTTGTAATTGGTATCGATTGAGGTGCAGATTCTGATAGCTTACTGGTTTCCTCTGGACTTATTTGATATTTTTCAGTAGTCGGTATTTTGAATAAGCTACTTGATATTGTAATCGATTTCGACGGTGATTTCGATAGTTTCCTTGTCTGCTCTTGACTTAGTTGATATATTTCTGTATTCGAAATTTGAACTGAACCTTTTGTAATTGGTATCGATTGAGGTGCAGGTTCCGATAGCTTACTTGTTTCCTCTTGAGTTATTTGATATTTTTCTTTACTCGAAATTTCTGCACTCGGAATTGCAAATGAACTTATTAACATTTGAATCGATTGAGTTGCAGATTCCGATAGCTTACTGGTTTCCTCTTGAGTTATTTGATATTTTTCCGTCCGCGAAACTTCTGCACTCGGAATTGCAAATGAACTTATTGACATTTGAATCGATTGAGTTGCAGATTCCGAGAGCGCACTGGTTTTCTCTGGACTTATTTGATATTTTTCAGTACTTGGTATTTTGAATAAGCTACTTGATATTGTAATCGATTTCGACGGCGATTTCGATAGTTTCCTTGTCTGCTCTGGACTCAGTTGATATGTTTCTGTACTTGAAATTGCAAATGAACTTATTGATATTTGAGTCGATTGACGTGCAGATTCTGATAGCTTACTGGTTTCCTCTTGCGTTATCTGATATTTTTCCGTACTCGGGATTTTGAATAAGCTACCTGATATTGTAATTGTTTTCGAGGATGATTCATATATTTCTGTACTCGAAATTTCAATTGAACTTTTTGTAACTGGTATCGATTTAGGTGCAGGTTCCGATAGCTTACTTGTTTCCTCTTGAGTTCTTTGATATTTTTCCTTACTCGAAATTTCTGCGCTCGGAATTGCAAATGAACTTATTGACATTTGAATCGATTGAGTTGCAGATTCCGATAGCTTACTGGTTTCCTCTTGAGTTATTTGATATTTTTCCTTACTCGAAATTTCTGCACTCGGAATTGCAAATGAACTCATTGACATTTGAATCGATTGAGTTGCAGATTCTGATAGCTTACTGGTTTCCTCTTGACTTATTTGATATTTTTCAGTAGTCGGTATTTTGAATAAGCTACTTGATATTGTAATCGATTTTGACGCCGATTTCGATAGTTTTCTTGTCTGCTCTTGACTCAGTTGATATTTTTCTGTACTTGACATTGCAAATGAACTTCTTGATATTTGAGTCGATTGACGTGTAGATTCTGATAGCTTACTGGTTTGCTCTTGCGTTATTTGATATTTTTCCGTCCGCGAAACTTCTGCACTCGGAATTGCAAATGAACTTATTGACATTTGAATCGATTGAGTTGCAGATTCCGAGAGCGCACTGGTTTTCTCTGGACTTATTTGATATATTTCAGTACTTGGTATTTTGAATAAGCTACTTGATATTGTAATCGATTTCGACGGCGATTTCGATAGTTTCCTTGTCTGCTCTGGACTCAGTTGATATGTTTCTGTACTTGAAATTGCAAATGAACTGATTGATATTTGAGTCGATTGCCGTGCAGATTCTGATTGCTTACTGGTTTCCTCTTGCGTTATTTGATATTTTTCCGTACTCGGGATTTTGAATAAGCTACCTGATATTGTAATTGTTTCCGAGGATGATTCATATATTTCTGTACTCGAAATTTCAATTGAACTTTTTGTAACTGGTATCGATTTTGGTGCAGGTTCCGATAGCTTACTTGTTTCCTCTTGAGTTATTTGATATTTTTCCTTACTCGAAATTTCTGCACTCGGAATTGCAAATGAACTTATTGACATTTGAATCGATTGAGTTGCAGATTCCGATAGCTTACTGAGTTTCTCTGGACTTATTTGATATTTTTCAGTAGTCGGTATTTTGAATAAGCTACTTGATATTGTAATCGATTTCGACGGCGATTTCGATAGTTTCCTTGTCTGCTCTGGACTCAGTTGATATGTTTCTGTACTTGAAATTGCAAATGAACTTATTGATATTTGAGTCGATTGCCGTGCAGATTCTGATTGCTTACTGGTTTCCTCTTGCGTTATTTGATATTTTTCCGTACTCGGGATTTTGAATAAGCTACCTGATATTGTAATTGTTTTCGAGGATGATTTATATATTTCTGTACTCGAAATTTCAATTGAACTTTTTGTAACTGGTATCGATTTAGGTGCAGGTTCCGATAGCTTACTTGTTTCCTCTTGAGTTATTTGATATTTTTCCTTACTCGAAATTTCTGCGCTCGGAATTGCAAATGAACTTATTGACATTTGAATCGATTGAGTTGCAGATTCCGATAGCTTACTGATTTTCTCTGGACTTATTTGATATTTTTCAGTACTTGGTATTTTGAATAAGCTACTTGATATTGTAATCGATTTCGACGGCGATTTCGATAGTTTCCTTGTCTGCTCTGGAATCAGTTGATATTTTTCCTTACTCGAAATTTCTGCACTCGGAATTGCAAATGAACTTATTGACATTTGAATCGATTGAGTTGCAGATTCCGATAGCTTACTGGTTTCCTCTTGAGTTATTTGATATTTTTCCTTACTCGAAATTTCTGCACTCGGAATTGCAAATGAACTTATTGACATTTGAATCGATTGAGGTGCAGATTCCGATAGCTTACTGGTTTCCTCTTGCGTTATTTGATATTTTTCCGTACTCGGGATTTTGAATAAGCTACCTGATATTGTAATTGTTTTCGAGGATGATTCATATATTTCTGTACTCGAAATTTCAACTGAACTTTTTGTAACTGGTATCGATTGAGGCGCAGGTTCCGATAGCTTACTTGTTTCCTCTTGAGTTATTTGATATTTTTCCTTACTCGAAATTTCTGCACTCGGAATTGCAAATGAACTTATTGACATTTGAATCGATTGAGGTGCAGATTCTGATAGCTTACTGATTTTCTCTGGACTTATTTGATATTTTTCAGTACTTGGTATTTTGAATAAGCTACTTGATATTGTAATCGATTTCGACGGCGATTTCGATAGTTTCCTTGTCTGCTCTGGACTCAGTTGATATGTTTCTGTACTTGAAATTGCAAATGAACTTATTGATATTTGAGTCGATTGCCGTGCAGATTCTGATTGCTTACTGGTTTCCTCTTGCGTTATTTGATATTTTTCCGTACTCGGGATTTTGAATAAGCTACCTGATATTGTAATTGTTTCCGAGGATGATTCATATATTTCTGTACCCGAAATTTCAATTGAACTTTTTGTAACTGGTATCGATTTAGGTGCAGGTTCCGATAGCTTACTTGTTTCCTCTTGAGTTATTTGATATTTTTCCTTACTCGAAATTTCTGCGCTCGGAATTGCAAATGAACTTATTGACATTGGAATCGATTGAGTTGCAGATTCCGATAGCTTACTGATTTTCTCTGGACTTATTTGATATTTTTCAGTACTTGGTATTTTGAATAAGCTACTTGATATTGTAATCGATTTCGACGGCGATTTCGATAGTTTCCTTGTCTGCTCTGGACTCAGTTGATATGTTTCTGTACTTGAAATTGCAAATGAACTTATTGATATTTGAGTCGATTGCCGTGCAGATTCTGATTGCTTACTGGTTTCCTCTTGCGTTATTTGATATTTTTCCGTACTCGGGATTTTGAATAAGCTACCTGATATTGTAATTGTTTCCGAGGATGATTCATATATTTCTGTACTCGAAATTTCAATTGAACTTTTTGTAACTGGTATCGATTTAGGTGCAGGTTCCGATAGCTTACTTGTTTCCTCTTGAGTTATTTGATATTTTTCCTTACTCGAAATTTCTGCACTCGGAATTGCAAATGAACTTATTGACATTTGAATCGATTGAGGTGCAGATTTCGATAGCTTACTGGTTTCCTCTGGACTTATTTGATATTTTTCTGTAGTCGGTATTTTGAATAAGCTACTTGATATTGTAATCGATTTCGACGGTGATTTCGATAGTTTTCTTGTCTGCTCTTGACTCAGTTGATATTTTTCTGTACTTGAAATTGCAAATGAACTACTTGATATTTGAGTCGATTGACGTGTAGATTCTGATAGCTTACTGGTTTGCTCTTGCGTTATTTGATATTTTTCCGTCCGCGAAACTTCTGCACTCGGAATTGCAAATGAACTTATTGACATTTGAATCGATTGAGGTGCAGATTTCGATAGCTTACTGGTTTCCTCTGGACTTATTTGATATTTTTCAGTAGTCGGTATTTTGAATAAGCTACTTGATATTGTAATCGATTTCGACGGCGATTTCGATAGTTTCCTTGTGTGTTCTTGACTCAGTTGATATGTTTCTGTACTTGAAATTGTAAATGAACTTCTTGTTATTTGAGTCGATTGACGTGCAGATTCTGATAGCTTACTGGTTTCCTCTTGCGTTATTTGATATTTTTCCGTACTCGGGATTTTGAATAAGCTACCTGATATTGTAATTGTTTTCGAGGATGATTCATATATTTCTGTACTCGAAATTTCAACTGAACTTTTTGTAACTGGTATCGATTGAGGCGCAGGTTCCGATAGCTTACTTGTTTCCTCTTGAGTTATTTGATATTTTTCCTTACTCGAAATTTCTGCACTCGGAATTGCAAATGAACTTATTGACATTTGAATCGATTGAGTTGCAGATTCTGATAGCTTACTGGTTTCCTCTTGACTTATTTGATATTTTTCAGTAGTCGGTATTATGAATAAGCTACTTGATATTGTAATCGATTTCGACGGTGATTTCGATAGTTTCCTTGTCTGCTCTTGACTTAGTTGATATATTTCTGTATTCGAAATTTCAACTGAACCTTTTGTAATTGGTATCGATTGAGGTGCAGATTCTGATAGCTTACTTGTTTCCTCTGGACTTATTTGATATTTTTCAGTAGTCGGTATTTTGAATAAGCTACTTGATATTGTAATCGATTTCGACGGTGATTTCGATAGTTTCCTTGTCTGCTCTTGACTTAGTTGATATATTTCTGTATTCGAAATTTCAACTGAACCTTTTGTAATTGGTATCGATTGAGGTGCAGGTTCCGATAGCTTACTTGTTCCCTCTTGAGTTATTTGATATTTTTCCTTACTCGAAATTTCTGCACTCGGAATTACAAATGAACTTATTGACATTTGAATCGATTGAGTTGCAGATTCCGATAGCTTACTGGTTTCCTCTTGAGTTATTTGATATTTTTCCTTACTCGAAATTTCTGCACTCGGAATTGCAAATGAACTCATTGACATTTGAATCGATTGAGTTGCAGATTCTGATAGCTTACTGGTTTCCTCTTGACTTATTTGATATTTTTCAGTAGTCGGTATTTTGAATAAGCTACTTGATATTGTAATCGATTTTGACGCCGATTTCGATAGTTTTCTTGTCTGCTCTTGACTCAGTTGATATTTTTCTGTACTTGAAATTGCAAATGAACTTCTTGATATTTGAGTCGATTGACGTGTAGATTCTGATAGCTTACTGGTTTGCTCTTGCGTTATTTGATATTTTTCCGTCCGCGAAACTTCTGCACTCGGAATTGCAAATGAACTTATTGACATTTGAATCGATTGAGTTGCAGATTCCGAGAGCGCACTGGTTTTCTCTGAACTTATTTGATATATTTCAGTACTTGGTATTTTGAATAAGCTACTTGATATTGTAATCGATTTCGACGGCGATTTCGATAGTTTCCTTGTCTGCTCTGGACTCAGTTGATATGTTTCTGTACTTGAAATTGCAAATGAACTTATTGATATTTGAGTCGATTGCCGTGCAGATTCTGATTGCTTACTGGTTTCCTCTTGCGTTATTTGATATTTTTCCGTACTCGGGATTTTGAATAAGCTACCTGATATTGTAATTGTTTCCGAGGATGATTCATATATTTCTGTACTCGAAATTTCAATTGAACTTTTTGTAACTGGTATCGATTTTGGTGCAGGTTCCGATAGCTTACTTGTTTCCTCTTGAGTTATTTGATATTTTTCCTTACTCGAAATTTCTGCACTCGGAATTGCAAATGAATTTATTGACATTTGAATCGATTGAGTTGCAGATTCCGATAGCTTACTGAGTTTCTCTGGACTTATTTGATATTTTTCAGTAGTCGGTATTTTGAATAAGCTACTTGATATTGTAATCGATTTCGACGGCGATTTCGATAGTTTCCTTGTCTGCTCTGGACTCAGTTGATATGTTTCTGTACTTGAAATTGCAAATGAACTTATTGATATTTGAGTCGATTGCCGTGCAGATTCTGATAGCTTACTGGTTTCCTCTTGCGTTATTTGATATTTTTCCGTACTCGGGATTTTGAATAAGCTACCTGATATTGTAATTGTTTTCGAGGATGATTTATATATTTCTGTACTCGAAATTTCAATTGAACTTTTTGTAACTGGTATCGATTTAGGTGCAGGTTCCGATAGCTTACTTGTTTCCTCTTGAGTTATTTGATATTTTTCCTTACTCGAAATTTCTGCGCTCGGAATTGCAAATGAACTTATTGACATTTGAATCGATTGAGTTGCAGATTCCGATAGCTTACTGATTTTCTCTGGACTTATTTGATATTTTTCAGTACTTGGTATTTTGAATAAGCTACTTGATATTGTAATCGATTTCGACGGCGATTTCGATAGTTTCCTTGTCTGCTCTGGAATCAGTTGATATTTTTCTGTACTCGAAATTTCAACTGAACTTTTTGTAATTGGTATCGATTGAGGTGCAGGTTCCGAAAGCTTACTTGTTCCCTCTTGAGTTATTTGATATTTTTCCTTACTCGAAATTTCTGCACTCGGAATTGCAAATGAACTTATTGACATTTGAATCGATTGAGTTGCAGATTCCGATAGCTTACTGGTTTCCTCTTGAGTTATTTGATATTTTTCCTTACTCGAAATTTCTGCACTCGGAATTGCAAATGAACTTATTGACATTTGAATCGATTGAGGTGCAGATTCCGATAGCTTACTGGTTTCCTCTTGACTTATTTGATATTTTTCCGTACTCGGGATTTTGAATAAGCTACCTGATATTGTAATTGTTTTCGAGGATGATTCATATATTTCTGTACTCGAAATTTCAACTGAACTTTTTGTAACTGGTATCGATTGAGGCGCAGGTTCCGATAGCTTACTTGTTTCCTCTTGAGTTATTTGATATTTTTCCTTACTCGAAATTTCTGCACTCGGAATTGCAAATGAACTTATTGACATTTGAATCGATTGAGTTGCAGATTCCGATAGCTTACTGATTTTCTCTGGACTTATTTGATATTTTTCAGTACTTGGTATTTTGAATAAGCTACTTGATATTGTAATCGATTTCGACGGCGATTTCGATAGTTTCCTTGTCTGCTCTGGAATCAGTTGATATTTTTCTGTACTCGAAATTTCAACTGAACTTTTTGTAATTGGTATCGATTGAGGTGCAGGTTCCGATAGCTTACTTGTTCCCTCTGGAGTTATTTGATATTTTTCCTTACTCGAAATTTCTGCACTCGGAATTGCAAATGAACTTATTGACATTTGAATCGATTGAGTTGCAGATTCCGATAGCTTACTGGTTTCCTCTTGAGTTATTTGATATTTTTCAGTAGTCGGTATTTTGAATAAGCTACTTGATATTGTAATCGATTTTGACGGCGATTTCGATAGTTTTCTTGTCTGCTCCTGACTCAGTTGATATTTTTCTGTACTTGAAATTGCAAATGAACCTTTTGATATTTGAGTCGATTGACGTGTAGATTCTGATAGCTTACTGGTTTGCTCTTGCGTTATTTGATATTTTTCCGTCCGCGAAACTTCTGCACTCGGAATTGCAAATGAACTTATTGACATTTGAATCGATTGAGTTGCAGATTCCGAGAGCGCACTGGTTTTCTCTGGACTTATTTGATATATTTCAGTACTTGGTATTTTGAATAAGCTACTTGATATTGTAATCGATTTCGACGGCGATTTCGATAGTTTCCTTGTCTGCTCTGGACTCAGTTGATATGTTTCTGTACTTGAAATTGCAAATGAACTTATTGATATTTGAGTCGATTGCCGTGCAGATTCTGATAGCTTACTGGTTTCCTCTTGCGTTATTTGATATTTTTCCGTACTCGGGATTTTGAATAAGCTACCTGATATTGTAATTGTTTTCGAGGATGATTCATATATTTCTGTACTCGAAATTTCAACTGAACTTTTTGTAACTGGTATCGATTTAGGTGCAGGTTCCGATAGCTTACTTGTTTCCTCTTGAGTTATTTGATATTTTTCCTTACTCGAAATTTCTGCACTCGGAATTGCAAATGAACTTATTGACATTTGAATCGATTGAGTTGCAGATTCCGATAGCTTACTGAGTTTCTCTGGACTTATTTGATATTTTTCAGTAGTCGGTATTTTGAATAAGCTACTTGATATTGTAATCGATTTCGACGGCGATTTCGATAGTTTCCTTGTCTGCTCTGGACTCAGTTGATATGTTTCTGTACTTGAAATTGCAAATGAACTTATTGATATTTGAGTCGATTGCCGTGCAGATTCTGATAGCTTACTGGTTTCCTCTTGCGTTATTTGATATTTTTCCGTACTCGGGATTTTGAATAAGCTACCTGATATTGTAATTGTTTTCGAGGATGATTCATATATTTCTGTACTCGAAATTTCAACTGAACTTTTTGTAACTGGTATCGATTGAGGCGCAGGTTCCGATAGCTTACTTGTTTCCTCTTGAGTTATTTGATATTTTTCCTTACTCGAAATTTCTGCACTCGGAATTGCAAATGAACTTATTGACATTTGAATCGACTGAGTTGCAGATTCCGATAGCTTACTGGTTTCCTCTTGACTTATTTGATATTTTTCAGTAGTCGGTATTTTGAATAAGCTTCTTGATATTGTAATCGATTTCGACGGCGATTTCGATAGTTTCCTTGTCTGCTTTGGACTCAGTTGATATTTTTCTGTACTCGAAATTTCAACTGAACTTTTTGTAACTGGTATCGATTGAGGTGCAGGTTCCGATAGCTTACTTGTTTCCTCTTGAGTTATTTGATATTTTTCCTTACTCGAAATTTCTGCACTCGGTATTGCAAATAAACTTATTGACATTTGAATCGATTGAGTTGCAGATTCCGAGAGCGCACTGGTTTTCTCTGGACTTATTTGATATTTTTCCGTACTCGGGATTTTGAATAAGCTACCTGATATTGTAATCGTTTTCGAGGATGATTCATATATTTCTGTACCCGAAATTTCAACTGAACTTTTTGTAATTGGTATCGATTGAGGTGCAGGTTCCGATAGCTTACTTGTTTCCTCTTGAGTTATTTCATATTTTTCCTTACTCGAAATTTCTGCACTCGGAATTGCAAATGAACTTATTGACATTTGAATCGATTGAGTTGCAGATTCCGATAGCTTACTGATTTTCTCTGGACTTATTTGATATTTTTCAGTACTTGGTATTTTGAATAAGCTACTTGATATTGTAATCGATTTCGACGGCGATTTCGATAGTTTCCTTGTCTGCTCTGGACTCAGTTGATATTTTTCTGTACTTGAAATTGCAAATGAACTTATTGACATTTGAATCGATTGAGATGCAGATTCCGATAGCTTACTGGTTTCCTCTTGCGTTATTTGATATTTTTCCGTACTCGGGATTTTGAATAAGCTACCTGATATTGTAATTGCTTTCGGGGATGATTCATATATTTCTGTACGCGAAATTTCAACTGAAGTTTGTGTAATTGGTATCGATTGAGGTGCAGGTTCCGATAGATTACTGGTTTCTTGTTGACTTATTTGATATTTTTCAGTAGTCGGTATTATGAATAAGCTACTTAATATTGTAATCGATTTCGGCGGCGATTTCGATAGTTTCCTTGTCTGCTCTGGACTCAGTTGATATTTTTCTGTACTCGAAATTTCAACTGAACTTTTTGTAATTGGTATTGCAAATGAACTTATTGACATTTGAATCGATTGAGTTGCAGATTCCGAGAGCGCACTGGTTTTCTGTGGACTTATTTGATATTTTTCAGTACTTGGTATTTTAAATAAGCTACTTGATATTGTAATCGATTTCGACGGCGAATTTGATAGTTTTCTTGTCGGCTCTTGACTTAGTTGATATGTTTCTGTACTTGAAATTGCAAATGAACTTATTGACATTTGAATCGATTGAGGTGCAGATTCCGATAGCTTACTGGTTTCCTCTTGAGTTATTTGATATTTTTCCTTACTCGAAATTTCTGCACTCGGAATTGCAAATGAACTTTTTGTAATTGGTATCGATTGAGGTGCAGGTTCCGATAGCTTACTTGTTCCCTCTTTAGTTATTTGATATTTTTCCTTACTCGAAATTTCTGCACTCGGAATTGCAAATGAACTTATTGACATTTGAATCGATTGGGTTGCAGATTCCGAGAGCGCAATGGTTTTCTCTGGACTTATTTGATATTTTTCCGTACTCGGGATTTTGAATAAGCTACCTGATATTGTAATCGTTTTCGAGGATGATTTATATATTTCTGTACCCGAAATTTCAACTGAACTTTTTGTAATTGGTATCGATTGAGGTGCAGGTTCCGATAGCTTACTTGTTTCCTCTTGAGTTATTTCATATTTTTCCTTACTCGAAATTTCTGCACTCGGAATTGCAAATGAACTTATTGACATTTGAATCGATTGAGTTGCAGATTCCGATAGCTTACTGATTTTCTCTGGACTTATTTGATATTTTTCAGTACTTGGTATTTTGAATAAGCTACTTGATATTGTAATCGATTTCGACGGCGATTTCGATAGTTTCCTTGTCTGCTCTGGACTCAGTTGATATTTTTCTGTACTTGAAATTGCAAATGAACTTATTGACATTTGAATCGATTGAGATGCAGATTCCGATAGCTTACTGGTTTCCTCTTGCGTTATTTGATATTTTTCCGTACTCGGGATTTTGAATAAGCTACCTGATATTGTAATTGCTTTCGGGGATGATTCATATATTTCTGTACGCGAAATTTCAACTGAAGTTTGTGTAATTGGTATCGATTGAGGTGCAGGTTCCGATAGATTACTGGTTTCTTGTTGACTTATTTGATATTTTTCAGTAGTCGGTATTATGAATAAGCTACTTAATATTGTAATCGATTTCGGCGGCGATTTCGATAGTTTCCTTGTCTGCTCTGGACTCAGTTGATATTTTTCTGTACTCGAAATTTCAACTGAACTTTTTGTAATTGGTATTGCAAATGAACTTATTGACATTTGAATCGATTGAGTTGCAGATTCCGAGAGCGCACTGGTTTTCTGTGGACTTATTTGATATTTTTCAGTACTTGGTATTTTAAATAAGCTACTTGATATTGTAATCGATTTCGACGGCGAATTCGATAGTTTTCTTGTCGGCTCTTGACTTAGTTGATATGTTTCTGTACTTGAAATTGCAAATGAACTTATTGACATTTGAATCGATTGAGGTGCAGATTCCGATAGCTTACTGGTTTCCTCTTGAGTTATTTGATATTTTTCCTTACTCGAAATTTCTGCACTCGGAATTGCAAATGAACTTTTTGTAATTGGTATCGATTGAGGTGCAGGTTCCGATAGCTTACTTGTTCCCTCTTTAGTTATTTGATATTTTTCCTTACTCGAAATTTCTGCACTCGGAATTGCAAATGAACTTATTGACATTTGAATCGATTGGGTTGCAGATTCCGAGAGCGCAATGGTTTTCTCTGGACTTATTTGATATTTTTCCGTACTCGGGATTTTGAATAAGCTACCTGATATTGTAATCGTTTTCGAGGATGATTTATATATTTCTGTACCCGAAATTTCAACTGAACTTTTTGTAATTGGTATCGATTGAGGTGCAGGTTCCGATAGCTTACTTGTTTCCTCTTGAGTTATTTCATATTTTTCCTTACTCGAAATTTCTGCACTCGGAATTGCAAATGAACTTATTGACATTTGAATCGATTGAGTTGCAGATTCCGATAGCTTACTGATTTTCTCTGGACTTATTTGATATTTTTCAGTACTTGGTATTTTGAATAAGCTACTTGATATTGTAATCGATTTCGACGGCGATTTCGATAGTTTCCTTGTCTGCTCTGGACTCAGTTGATATTTTTCTGTACTTGAAATTGCAAATGAACTTATTGACATTTGAATCGATTGAGATGCAGATTCCGATAGCTTACTGGTTTCCTCTTGCGTTATTTGATATTTTTCCGTACTCGGGATTTTGAATAAGCTACCTGATATTGTAATTGCTTTCGGGGATGATTCATATATTTCTGTACGCGAAATTTCAACTGAAGTTTGTGTAATTGGTATCGATTGAGGTGCAGGTTCCGATAGATTACTGGTTTCTTGTTGACTTATTTGATATTTTTCAGTAGTCGGTATTATGAATAAGCTACTTAATATTGTAATCGATTTCGGCGGCGATTTCGATAGTTTCCTTGTCTGCTCTGGACTCAGTTGATATTTTTCTGTACTCGAAATTTCAACTGAACTTTTTGTAATTGGTATTGCAAATGAACTTATTGACATTTGAATCGATTGAGTTGCAGATTCCGAGAGCGCACTGGTTTTCTGTGGACTTATTTGATATTTTTCAGTACTTGGTATTTTAAATAAGCTACTTGATATTGTAATCGATTTCGACGGCGAATTCGATAGTTTTCTTGTCGGCTCTTGACTTAGTTGATATGTTTCTGTACTTGAAATTGCAAATGAACTTATTGACATTTGAATCGATTGAGGTGCAGATTCCGATAGCTTACTGGTTTCCTCTTGAGTTATTTGATATTTTTCCTTACTCGAAATTTCTGCACTCGGAATTGCAAATGAACTTTTTGTAATTGGTATCGATTGAGGTGCAGGTTCCGATAGCTTACTTGTTCCCTCTTTAGTTATTTGATATTTTTCCTTACTCGAAATTTCTGCACTCGGAATTGCAAATGAACTTATTGACATTTGAATCGATTGGGTTGCAGATTCCGAGAGCGCAATGGTTTTCTCTGGACTTATTTGATATTTTTCAGTAGTCGGTATTTTGAATAAACTACCTGATATTGTAATTGTTTTCGAGGATAATTCATATATTTCTGTACTCGAAATTTCAACTGAACTTTTTGTAATTGGTATCGATTGAGGTACAGGTTCCGATAGCTTACTTGTTCCCTCTTGAGTTATTTGATATTTTTCCTTACTCGAAATTTCTGCACTCGGAATTGCAAATGAACTTATTGACATTTGAATTGATTGGGTTGCAGATTCCGAGAGCGCAATGGTTTTCTCTGGACTTATTTGATATTTTTCAGTAGTCGGTATTTTGAATAAACTACCTGATATTGTAATTGTTTTCGAGGATAATTCATATATTTCTGTACTCGAAATTTCAACTGAACTTTTTGTAATTGGTATCGATTGAGGTACAGGTTCCGATAGCTTACTTGTTTCCTCTTGAGTTATTTGATATTTTTCTTTGCTAGAAATTTCTGCACTCGGATTTAGAAATGAACTTATTGACATTTGAATCGATTGAGTTGCAGATTCCGATAGCTTACTGATTTTCTCTGGACTTATTTGATATTTTTCAGTAGTCGGTATTTTGAATAAGCTACTTGATATTGTAATCGATTTCGACGGCGATTTCGATAGTTTCCTTGTCTGCTCTGGACTCTGTTGATATGTTTCTGTACTTGAAATTGCCAATGAACTTATTGATATTTGAGTCGATTGACGTGCAGATTCTGATAGCTTACTGGTTTCCTCCGGACTTATTTGATATTTTTCAGTACTCGGTATTTTGAATAAGCTACCCGATTTTGTGATCCATTTCAAGGGTGAATTCGATATCTTCCTTGTTTCCTCTTGACTTAGTTGATATTTTTCTGTACTCGGGATTGCGAAAGAACTTATTGGTATTTGACTTGATTGAGGTGCAGATTCCAAAAGATTACTTGTTTGTAGTTGAGTTATTTGATATGTTTTTATTGTAATCGATTGCGAGGGTGGTTTCGATGGTTTTCTTGTTAACTCTTGATTTAGTTCTGTGCTTAAAATTTTAAAGAAACTAGGCATTTCGGAAAACCGAATTTCAGAACTTGGGTTTGTTTTGCAGTTGCAGGTGCATGAGTCTTCTGCTAGTTCTATTTTGCAGATGCATTCGCAGATAGTAAAAGTTGTTGGCTCACTGCTCGTTTTGGATTTGGTCATCTCAAACGATGACATCGTCGATGACACTATTATTTTCTTTCCAGTACCGCTTTCAGCTTGAGTTGTAATATAGTCTCGACTTCCACCGAGCGTGGAAATTGTTTCTGTGAGTAGTG